CGAAATTCGAGAGATGCAATGATGCACGTGCGTTGTTCCAAGTGTGTGTGTGTGTGTGAAAAAGATTACAATAAACACATTTTAGCAATATTACATATTTGGCCTATTTATTAAACACACCTCCCACTGCCCACCGCCGCCCACCACCCACCACAACCCGCTCTCTCAATCACACAATCTCCCGTTCCGATTAGAGTTGTGTTGTTGTCGCCCGAGAAAGAGACAGCGACTGCGACGCAGCTGTACAGTGATCTAATAACGGTTAAGGTTGCGATTATCTGATTGGAACTGTGCGCTTTCATCGGCAAATGCCAATTGGCAATGCAGGGAGGCACACAAGTCCAACTGGAAAGAAAGCGACACTTTATATTTCTGAAGATTTAAGATTGTATCTTATAAAAGAATTTTTATAATTTTTATAACTCATCGTACAACCATTTTTCTTACTATTTCTAAGTTAATTTTATGAGATAATTTGTAAAAAATATATTATATGAAATTAATGGTAAATAAATAAAAAAATAACAATAAAACTTCGATTTGGGAGCGACTACTGTGGGCTTATCCCGCGTTTATTCAAATTCCAGACCACTGAGGCGTGGTCAGCGACACCTCGTTTTTTGGGGCTCCCGCTCTAGACTAATTAACCGAATTCGGTGGGTTCTGTTCGGTTCTGTTCTGGGCGACCAAATAGGCCCCATTGTTATTCATATGAGCCGAAAGCAGTGTGCAGCGCCGGCAGCGCAGTCGGCAGAGACGTCAACTGTTTTGGCTGGGCGGGCAAACACAGTTATGTTTCGAGTTTTTTGATTCTTTACTTATTGTGCAATGATCCGAGGCAACTTAATTGCTTTTCGTTTGGGTTTTTGGCTACGACGTGAACAGCAGTCAGCAGTCTGCTGCCTTTTTCCAGTATATTTTGCACTTTTGAGTTCTCTTTGCGCTACGCTGCACTTCAAATGCTCAATTGTTGTCTATCAAAAAACGCTCCCCCACTCCATGAAACTTTGTCATTGTGGGAGGACGCATAAATAACGCCGCTGATAAAAAATGGGCGAAGGGCGAGCGAATCTAAAGCTCGTAATTATGGCCAGCCAGCCAGCTAGCCAGCTTTTTATTTATTTTTTCATTTAATTTTTTTTTTGTTTTATCAGCTCTCAGCGTTTCACTTACATAAGCTGAAACGGCGGAAAACACGTTGGAAAATTGCTCTGTGAATGCAAAATGCGAGAGCGTCTGTTTGTGAAGTTGGAAAATTTGAATTTCATCAACGGCAACGGCAAAGCAAAGCGAAAGCAAAGACAGCGGGCGAAACAATCATGATAATTAAATTGAGTTCACTGATGCGTATACTTAACATTAAATTCAAAGCCAGAAGCAAAGCAAAAAGCTGCTGCGCTGCGCTGCGCTGCCCTGCCTCTCAGTCAACGTCGCAATCGGGGGAAAAAGCATATAAAAATCAGCGACTGCTTTAAAATTGTAAAAAAAAAAAAGAACAGAACAGAAAAAGAACCTTCAACTGCCAGAGGTTTTGATTTCCTTCCTTTTTTCGGTTTGAAGAGGATGTGCTTGTTGTTAGAAACGGAACAAAAAAATTATATAGGTTAGCACTAGCCTTCGCATCCCTATCCCACTTGGAACTCGGGCTATATACTTGGCATCCAGAGAGAGAGAGAGGGACTGCCAAATAGAGAGAGACGCGTGAGAAGCGCAGAGAACTGAGAAAATGTGTGCCGCGTTGGGGGCATGCAAATGTGGGACGACTGCCCACGCAACACCCACTTTTCCACCCACCGCCAACAACAACAGTGTTGCCAAAAGAAAAGGAAATATTTTTGAGTGGATACTCTCTGGGAAAAATATATGCACTAAAAAAAACGAACTTTGTTAAATTAAAAATTTGTATATTGCTTCATTTTAATTATTGTAAATATAGCATAAATATTATCAAAATAATTCAACGGATAATTGGTCATTCTCTTAAAAATATGGCGATTAGTCCTCAACAAATATTTAAAAAAAAATTGTAAATGTGTAATGCCGTGTAAATAAGTAATATTTATAAAAAATTTGTAAATACTTTGAAAAAATTCTATAATGGTCAACATTTTTGGAGCATAATTAATTTAAGCAGTGAAATTTTATTTATATAATTTATTCATAAAAAAAAGTACACATTAACCTATTCAAAAGTCATACAGTTAAACCCATTATTCATAAAAAACCTACTTCTATAAATATTTCTGTATCAGTAATATCGCATTCGGTTGTTTGTGTCCGACGAAAATCAAATTAAATTACGAATACTTAACGTTATCAATTTAATGAGGCAAGTTGGGAATTCCCTTCTGGGGGTTGGTTGGTCAAGTCGGCCGTCAAAGTTGGCATGCCCCAAACTCCGCCAGAAGGGCAGGCGGAAAATCAAAGCCACTTTTTGCGCTCTTAAGTGCAAAAATCAAACACAAGCAACCCCCCAAAGCGGCGAAGCTGCTCTCTCTCTGTATTTTCTCTCACATTTCTCTCTCGGATCTCTCCCCCGATATCTCGCCATATCTTTGGCTCTCATCACTGGCTCTTCGTGTGCATTATTTATTGCTCTTATACAGGCCGAATGCTTGACGATGACGAAGGTGCGCTCCACTGTCAGTGTCACCACCCCCTCCCTGTCATCTGTCTCTCTCTCTTTCGCCACCTTTCCCTTTCTCTCCCTCGGTTCGGGCCCAGTTAACTAGTAAACCAACAACCTATAATGGAGCCTCTTCCGCGTTGTTATCCCTATCCTATCCCCCACATATTCCCCACAGAGAGAAAAATGATCAGCCATTAGTCATGAATTCGCAATGCTTATGATGTAACGATGGATTATCTGGGGAGCTGTTTTTGGATATCTATTTTACCTTTCATAGAAAAAATATGTATAAATGTATTCCACTTAAGATATTTTACCTCTTTACAAGAAATTACATTTATTATGCTAATAGTGATATTAAGAAAAACAAATACAAATCTATATACAATGATTAGATTATATAAAATAGATATTTAGAGATTACTTTAAGTATAGAACTAGCTCAATTTTTTCTAATATTTTATTTCATATCCCTTTCTTGATATTTTTGTTCTTGTGCACTTCCCAATTCTATCCCTTTTTTCGCATCCTGGAAAATGAGCACCAGCTGTCTGCCATTGTCTTTTCGATTTTCCCCTTTTATGTTGTTTGTTTTCTTTTGCGCCTGGTTGTATAATAAATAACTTTGAAATAAATCAAATCGGATCCTGGCGCAATGGACACATGTTAAATGGACCAAGTAATGTTTGCGAGGGGCGGGCGGCATCATCATATTTTTTATTGGGTCAAAATCAACAAGAGCAGCGGCGGCGGCGACCTTAGAACGCATTAGCAGCCGCTGTCGGCCAAGTCGTAATAATTTTATTAGCAAACATCAGAAATATAAAAAAATGCCGCTGGCCAGAGGCAAAAGAAATAACAGAAATAAAAGCGGCTATAATTTCGAAAGGTGTTGGCTTTTTCAGAAGTTCAAATCCGAACGGCGAGTGGGGAGTGGGGAGGTGGGCGGTAGGTGGCAGGGGGAGGGGCTGCGACAAGTGCAGGCGTGCTCAAGGTAAAAGCGCCGCAGTCGCAGTCGGCGTCGCTGCCAGCTGCGCTGTCAACTGCACTTCGGTCGAAATCCGAGTGCAAGATCAAGTGAAGCGAGTGGCCGAAAAAAAAAACTAGAGAGCGGCTACGAAGCCAGTGAGCGAGCCATTTATCATTTTACACTAAACATGATAAGCTATCGACTGGGAGATACTTGGTAGAAAATACCTTAACTATACTACAGCGTCATATGAGTATTTTAAATAGATAAATAGGTAATTCAAATTGATTAAGCAGAAAAATAAAGATTTATGTGCTATGTTTAAGAACACTAAATGACCAGATACTGCTGGTAAATTCATTCATGTCGATAAAGATAAAGATGTTTTTATTTCAAAGGAACGCTATTTAAATACTAAAATACTTCATTGTAAAAAAAGAACTGAAATATGTCCTATTATAAAGCATTTAAGAAAAAATATATGGTTATACAATAGTGTATTTGTAATTATTTTAGCTATTTCCATGAAACACAAAATTAAAAAAGGAAAATTTACTATTACAAAAAATTTGTATTATGGCAGATAAAAGTTCGAGTTATAAAAGTAAGGAACACATTCGCATCTCACTATTCCACAAAAATTTGTGAATTATGGAACACTTTTAAAAATATACTTTTAATAGATTTCAATATTAAGAATTCTCATAATCTTATAAAAATGGTATTGTAAAAGATTTCTATTGTAAAAGATTTCTAGATTTCTAGTAGATCTATTCCATCATATCCCACTTTAGGACAGGGTACTTAAGTTGGCCGCACGGGTGACAATCAGACACTCGGTCTCTGTCTCCCTCCCACCTTCCACCGCCCTCTCGCTCGCACACGTGCATTTCGGTGGTAGTGGTAGTAGTAGAGGTTTGTTTTTAGGCATTCTGGAGGCGATGCTGTTTAGGCCTCTTTAGTCAAGTGGCCGAGCAGCGACGTCGACTGAGGCAGAGGCAGCGACTGCGACTGCAGCAGAGGCAGAGGCAGCTGCGACTAGATAAAAAGAACAAATTGACTAAGCACGAAACACGTTTTAGCCAGAGTTTTTAGCCAGACTAGCAGCTCGAATCGGAATCGGAATTGGAATCGGTGGGAGCGGGACGGCGAATGACACACTGACCCAATTCCGGGTATTCGATTTTCTGGTTTTCCTCAAGAATACACGTTTTCCGCTGCATAAACACACACACACTCAAACACAAGAGCGCGAAAGAGGGAGAGCGGCAAAACGAGTTGCATGGCCAAGAATTTTCGCCTGGCATTTTTCATTTTCCCTGCGAGTGACATTCCCCAATTGAACCCCTACTCCCCCTCCTCTTAGTCACAATCCCTCTTTTTTCTCTAGGAAAAACTCACCGTTAGATTTCCGATTGGTTGCCAATACGTCGTTACGTTTCTTACGTGAGGGGACACCGTTTACAGTTACAGTTGCAAGTGCTTTTCCCGAACGCTGCTGCTGCTGCTGCTGCTTATCATCTATATCTCTGGTATACGCTTGTCATAGATATATGTATGTATATATCTCGATATATATTATTCAATCCTGATGCGTGGTTTTAACGGACGTTGAGAACAAGAACAAGAAGACCAAAAGACGATGGGACGACGAGTTTAAGATGGATTCTTGTTTTTTCTTTCTATTTCTTTTCGATATTTGGTGGTGTTTGCTTGTATTTATTGTTGTGTTCCGATTTATAACTATTTTATTTGAACATATATTTTGCACTAGAGAACTTACTTCCTACGAATCACAATTAGAAATGAGTGTGAGGCGACGACCGAAAGGAAAACTCCCGTCAAAGTGAAAAACTACGCGCCGTCTACTTGGGCAGCCGAAAAAACAAAAACACAGAGAGAGAGAGACACATGTGTTTTTTTCCAAATTTTATGGGTGCCAAGGAAAATTCAGCGCGGGTGGTGTGTGTGTGCGAGAGCCGCTTCAAAGGAAAACCCACGGCAAGCCAAGAAAACTCCCTTCAATATTTACCGTTTGGCGATATACAATTCTACAACTGCTATCGTGACGTAACGCGACGGCGACTGGTGGGACTGAGTGAAAAACACAGCTACGGCGCGTAACTCTGGTCTGGTGGAAATGGCGCACGAATTTCACGCATTTCCCTTTTCAAAAAAGAGCAGCGAGCAGCGCGAGAGTGAGACGGGTGATGAACAGCTGTTGGATACCGCAAAGAAATACCAAAATAACGCGTTTTCTTCACAGTGTGACCTTGCTGTGCGGTTTTTGGCCATTTATTGATTTTCCACTTGTTGCTGCTGCTGCCGATTTTCCCCGTGCCGAACAAAAAGCTAAAGCTCAAGCTTAAACCCGACTTGAAATTTATTCTCCCGATTACTACCGGTAGAACTGGTCTCGCGGTTAAAAACCCCAGCTGCGTTCAAAGCTCCCGCCCGATCTTAACGTCGGAATTCTCGTGTTTTTTCGCATTTAGTCAAAACCAAGCTTCAAAACTGGCAGCACGCATCATGTCCGCAGGTCGAGTGGTTATTTACGGCGGCAAGGGAGCCTTGGGCTCGGCCTGTGTCGATCACTTCAAAGCCAACAATTATGTGAGTTACCTTTCACTCACGAAATAATTATAAAAACTATTGTTTTCCCTTCCGATTACGACCTTCACCTGGTTAATCCCGTCCAGTGGGTGGGCAGCATCGATCTGACGGAGAACGAGAAGGCCGACGTGAGCATCGTGGTGCCACGCGATGCCGCTTGGTCCGAGCAGGAGGATGTGGTGGTCTCCAAGGTGGGCGAATCCCTGGCCGGCGAGAAACTGGATGCCGTGATCTGTGTGGCCGGCGGCTGGGCAGGTGGCAATGCCAAAAAGGATCTGGCCAAGAATGCCGATCTCATGTGGAAGCAGAGCGTCTGGACCTCGGCCATTTCCGCCGCTGTGGCGGCTCAGCATTTGAAGGAAGGAGGCCTGCTGGCTCTCACTGGCGCCAAACCTGCTCTGGAGGGCACGCCCGGCATGATTGGCTACGGAATGGCCAAGGCAGCTGTCCACCAGCTCACCCGATCTCTGGGCGCCGAGAAATCCGGTCTGCCGGCGGGTTCCCTGGCCGTGTCGATCCTTCCCGTCACCCTCGATACACCCATGAACCGCAAATGGATGCCGGACGCAGACTTTGGCACCTGGACCTCGCTAACCGAGGTGGCCGGACTCTTCCTCAAGTGGACTCAGGCTCAGGAGAGGCCCAAATCGGGATCCCTGCTGCAGCTGATCACCAAGAATGGCGTAACAGAGCTCATAGCCGCCGAATAGTTATAGAGATGATGATGCGGATCCAAAAATACTTATTTGAAGAACCAAAATGCTCAATAACCATAATCTAAATGCTTTCGCTTGTACATAAACTATTCATAAATAAATCGCTGGGCGGCTTTCGATCGTTTAATGTGGGTCTGTTTACACGTTTTGGGGGGCTATGGGGATAACCTTTTGAACCAGCGTTTAGAGCTTACTTAGAGTACAATCTTAGGTTTCTTCCTACGTCTTCTTCTTCTTCATAATCTTCATGAACAGCACCATACCTGGAAATAAAAAAGGCGAATAAACTCATTAGTATGATTAAGCAATACTCACTTAATGCAATAAATCGAACCAATTAAGAAAAAATGTTATTTCAAACTGAGTCACGGAAAACTTGTTTACTTGTACTCAGTTAAATGACCTGATATATGCAAGTTTTCCACTCAGTTTTATTTTTAAATTAAGCGGTCTAATTATTATAATTTTTGGTTTTTTTTATAATGAATTTTTATAGTTTGAATAACAAAGCTCGACATAAATTTAGCATGTCGGAAAAACGTGTCTTAATAAACAGAGTGAGATGTAAGTTTTTAATCCAGAAAATTAATAACTTCTTATAAAAACTAATACATTTTTGGATTATTTTAAGACATTTAATTAAAGTAGTGAATTAATGAAATAAAATATTGACTACCAAACCCCAAAGTAAGTTGGTTTTCCCCAATGTGAAACTAGGGGAATTTTTTTTGGGAACTTGGACGAATTTCTTGCTAAACAGCATGACTCACCTATGAAAGTGACAATTACAAAGACAATCATTAGCCAGAGCCAGCACTTGTAGGCTTTTTTTGAATGCTGCTCCAGTTTCTCAGCCTCTTTCCCAAGGGAATTTATATTGCGATCCGCCATTCCGGTGGATCGAGATACAACCTCCGTGTCCCTCCGGATAATCCGGTTAGCAGTCTCCGTCTGTTCCTTTAAATTTCGGGTCAAAGAGAGCATGTGCTCGGTGATCTTCTCCTGGGCATTCGTATAATACTTGGCAGCCTCGTTCATATTTTCGCCAGAAGTTCCCTGTACGGTGGCACCACCGGGACTAGAAGACGATTCTTCCACTCCTCGACGTCTTCGCAGGGCATCTGCATCTATAATGAATTATTATTTTTTAAATATTGAGAGGGACCAACCACATAAAGGGGTTTTTAAAAATAATTTATAAAATAATATAAGAAATTCGAAATTTTTTAAAATTTGAGTTTGGAATTGCATTCAGAATATTTTAGTTAGATATACTTCCAAAATAAAATGGGTAAAATATGGAATTGGATTAAAATTTTAAGATTTTTATGAAATAGTAAATTTAAATAATTTCATCTTACGTTAACATTAATCTTAAAATTATTAACATTTTGCTAACGCCCTTCTGAACCCCCTAATTACCCTGCAGCAGCTCCTTTCGCAGTTCGTTGTGATGTTTGGTGTTCTGCAGCTGTCTCATTTCTTTCAGTGCATTTTCCCCGGCCTCGCTGACGGAAGAGGATTGCGAGGGAGTATTTGTTGTGGAGCTGGGGACTTCCGTGAATCCCGTTGATAGTTTCAGAGCCTTCAGGCGCTCCGTGTAGCCCGGAATTCGGGTGGCACTCTGTGGATCGTCCATCTCCACCAATTCGGCGAGCATTGTGTCCAGGGACTTTATGAACTTCTGCAGCCGCCAGAAGTTCTGCTCACTTTTGGCCAGGTCCTCGCAGTTGGTCAGCAGGGTCCGGATATTTACATTTAGCTTCGTGGCCATTTCAGAGGGGAAAACATGAAAACAACAAAGTACAAATTCCTAGGTGTATTTAAAATACCAAAAATAACACCATTAGATAGTTATTACCTGGTCATACTATATACTAACATCTGACTACCTATCGATAGTACTATCATCTATCTAGCTATCAGTGATGTCGTAATTTAAAGCAAATGTAGCTAGCTCTTAACAACAAAATTGTACAATAACACAATTGAAATTATCAAACTTAGAAATTTAAGAACTAAATGACGATTATATTTTATGCATTGACGTAAGATATAATGCTTTTTGGAAATGAACAGTTTAATATTCTACATATTGATTTTTCAAATAAGAATTTAAGTACGATTTCCGTTTATATTAAACTAAAAGTAAAAGAGTGATAAACTTGTATTCAATTTTTACTAGCTAAAAAATTGCCGAAAACGATTTAAGCTAGCTAAATTTGCAGATCTGATGAATATTTGTTGGAACCACGAAAAAATACCGCAACTTAATGATACCTTGCTGCATACTTTTGGGCGCGACTCGAAAAATTCTTATCAGAATTCTAATAAGAAGTCGCCGCCAATATCAGAAGTTATCAATTAAACCTTTTTTGATAGCCCCAGCATATGTGTATTACCATGCGAGCGCACAATTTTGGAAACAGTCGTCGTACGCCAGGTGTCAAGATCACATTGGAATCGATTCCAAGGTAGTATTTTCGTTAGTTTCCTTATAATTCCCCTGAAGTGCCGTTACACTCGAAGTGTTATCAAGCAGCTGACGGGGCAAAAACAAAAAAAACCCACCCCTCAAGGCACCTGACGCCATGAATGAAAAGCGGCTGCTCTCTCTCCTCTCTCTTTCCACCGACTTTCTCTCTACTTTCTCTCGCCGCTCTCTTCGGCGCTCTCTTCTTGCGCAGCAGCAGCGCAGCAGCAGTTAACGGTGCATGTGAAAAAAGTCCCCTCACAAACGTCGTGAAAATCGAAATCGATAAGTAAGCAACGGATTTTAGCTGCCCAGAAAAGTCCAATAATTTCAGTGAAAAACCCAGCGATAAGGCCCCCAAAAAGTACTAATCCAGCTGAAAACCAACAACACAACCCGGTCATGTCCAAAAAAAGTGTTAGCCAAGTGTTTTCAATACCGTAGTTAGATAAAAAAAAATAAGCTAGTCTGGGGGCCAAGAAATCGATACGACACCCGAAAACGGGGGCTGCTGCGTGGGTTACTCCAGTGAAAATGTCCAGCTAAAAATAGTACACATTTTTGATTACAGAAAAACTTTCGTTATCCTTTAGTTTTCGATGCCAGTTTTCATTGCATTTTCGTTACATAAGTTTTGAGAACCTCAGCTGCGTAGCGAATCCATAAACGGCTTAAGAACCATTCAACCACCCACATATACCACCCAGTTACACAGACAAAAATAAAATTAAAATAAAGCAAATTTATCTAATCTAATCTGGTGATGATAAATTATTGGATATTTGGTTATCATAAAATAAAAATTAATTTACTAAATTTTTCAACATTTAAAATATTAAATACTGTTAGATGTCTAAAATAACAGGGTCAAAACTGAATTTGTTTACCCATTCCCCACTCACCTAGTATCATCCTACTTTTTACAGTTGCTAGAGGTAATGTAACGCCATTTTTTCGGAGCTCGAACAGAAAAACCAAATCGTAGAGTGACCCGATTGCAGTAGACAAAGCCCCAAGATGCAGCCGCCGCCGCGTAAGGTAAAGCTTGAAACAAAAATCCTAGTGCTAGAATATAGTTCCCAAATAACTTAATCCCCCTGTCGTAATCATACAGGGAAACTATGTGAAATTCCTCAAGAATTTGCACACGGAGCAGGTGGCCAAGCTGCAGCTGAAGAACCAGCATGAGTGCGACCTGTTGGAGGACATACGCCAGTTTACCATCAAGCGCTCGGCTGTCGAGAAGTCGTACAGTGAGTCGCTGCTCAAGATCTCATCGCAGTATCTCAACAAGAAGATACCCAATATACCAGATATTAAGATGGATGGCATGGAGGAGCGCTGGTGCGTTTTTCTTTCTGAACTTTCCTTTTGGGAGATTTTTTAATACAATATTTTTGTTTCACAGGAACATGTGGAGTGTTTGGCGCACGGTTCTCGAGGAGAACGAAAAGTTAGCCCGTGCCCGTTTGGCCGCCATAGAGGTGTTCCAACAACAGATTGCAGACGAAGCCAAAGTTCTGCGGGACTATAAGTTGGCCATAGCAAAGCGCTCGCTATCCGGAATTGTCAACGTTCAGAAGGAACTTCATTTGAGTGTGGGCGATGTGGACAAGACCAAGAAATCATACTTTGACGAGGAGCACTGTGCCCATGATGTTCGGGATAAGGCCCGCGATATCGAGGAGAAGCTTAAGAAGAAGAAGGGCTCCTTCTTTCAATCGATCACTTCGCTGCAGAAGAACAGCGCCCGAGTGACGTCCCGCAAGGAGTTGCTCGAGGAGAAGTCATCCGGCGCTCGGAATGACTACGTACTCAGCTTGGCAGCGGCCAACGCCCATCAGAATCGGTACTTCACAGTCGATCTGCAGACCACGATGACCACCATGGAGAACTATGTGTTTGAGCGGGTCGCCGAGTACCTGATGCTAATGGGGTAAGCATATTTTTCGGTATATACAATTTTGTAGCTATATAAAACTTAAGGAAAAATAATGCTTATAAAAATTAAGGCTAAACGAAAGATATTTTATTCAAATTTTTCTTAATGCATTATCAATATACATACAATTTTGTAGCTATATACAACATAAGGAAAAATAATGCTTATAAAATTAAGGCTAAACCAAAGGGTCAAATATATTTAATTTAAATTTTTCTTAAGGCATTATCAAATCAGGAAATCATTTTATAAATTTCGTAATCTTTGTTTGGTCATGTCGATAATTACATGCTGATAATACATGGCGCCATTGACATCGTTAGCTTTTTCAGAAAACTACCACATTTGTGTACATAAGCTTAAATGGATCAATGTGTGAGTTGTTAGATATGAAAAAAAGTTAGGTGTGAATAAATTTTAATTCTACAATATCTCATTAGAACTTAAAATTCCTTTGTCTTAATATTTAATTTGATAAGATGGAGCTGTTTTTATTAGTAATTAAGGTCATAAACTAATTATAAAACTTTTTTTCTTTCCAGCCGCACCGAGCTGCTGACTTGCTCGGCCACTCAGAATAGCTTCGGGAAGATCCGTGACCAGGCGCAGCAGTTGACCCGGGAGTACAACCTGCAGTGCTGCTACCTGTTCTATCCGGTGCTCAAGCAGCACATCCAGTACGACTTCGAGGCGTGCGACAATGATCCGGTGCGCAAGGTGACCGCGGAGCACGAATCCGCGGCCGAGACGCTGACCAAGGAGGCCAAAAATCTGGCTGGTCGGGTGGTCAAGGAGAACGCTTCGATCCGGGAGAATGCCAAGAAGTTGGCCCTGTGCCAGTCTCTTAGGGATTCCGGGCAGCGCTCCGATCCCAACGATCCAAATGGACCGGATCTCGATACAAAGATCGAGGAGTTCCGCGATCAGATCCGTCGCTCGGAGACGGAGAAGACCAAGGCGGAGGCTTGTTTGCAGTGTCTGCGGGACGGTGGCATCAACGTGGACGAGTGGGTGCAGGAGGCCGAGATTATGGGAGTGCAGGAGCTGACGCGCTCGGCCAGCTCCATTTCGATGCGCACGGATGCCTCCGGCCAGGGCGAGAACCCCAGCTCGGATTCCTTCTACGACAGCGACAAGGAGGAGACCCAGGCCCAGGCCGCGGCCCAGACGAAGCCCAAGACGGAGCAGCAACTGTCCAGGGATCGCACCTTCAGCGACAGCGACGATGAGCCCGAGGTGCGTCCCTCGGCGGCGGCAGCTTCCTCTTCAGCAGCGGCTGCATCCTCGTCCATGATGGCCAGCGGTGGCGCCGGTGCCTGGGATGACCCCACTGAGGTCAACTGGGGAGCCGCCGACGAGGAGGAGGACAAGGACGAACCGATCGTTCCGGAGCCCAAGGAGGCTATCTTTAAGTGCACTGCGCTCTACAGTTATACGGTAAGGGATTTTTGGTTTATGGTACCACAGAAACCTTTAGAGATTTGGAAAAAAATCCTACAAAAAATCTAAAATTTAAAAAAAAAAAATTTTTTAATAACTTCATCATTATTATTGTTTAATCCAATTTGGAATCTAGTTTAAAACCAAAATATAGCTGATTGTTCCAAGTAACGAAGTCTACAATCTTAAGAGGTTTTTTATACTTACACCAAAAAAAAATCGATATGAAACGTAGATCGATTTTACAAAAAGAGTATTTCATGTAAAAACGAAATGCGTTTTGCATCTCCTGAAATTTACATGGCCATATCGATGTGTGTGTACAATATTGTCCAATTCTATGTCTCTACTTATATTACATCTGTATTAAATTATCATATTTCTTACCTAACCCTCAGTCACTTTTACTTATGATTTTAAATCTTTAGGTATTTCTGTGGCACCCCATAATTTCTTTATTGGATAATCTTTTTCATATAATAAATTTTTCCCTCCTTAGGCCCAGAATCCCGATGAGCTCAGTATCGTCGAGAACGAACAACTCGAGGTGGTTGGCGAGGGCGACGGCGATGGGTGGCTGAGGGCCCGCAACTATCGCGGCGAGGAGGGCTACGTGCCACACAACTATCTGGACATCGACCAGGAGACAGCGGGCGGCGCCTTTAATGGTACATCCGGCAATCAATTGCGCTCTCAAATCTCATTCTCATCTGTCGATTATACCGTTGACAATGAAGATCAGACGGTGGACTCGATGCAATCGCCCGACCAGGTGTCGGTCATCATGGCGCCCCAGAAGCGGGTCAAATCGGACGTGGAGTGGTGCATCGCGCTGTACGACTACGACGCCACCGCCGAGGATGAGCTGACCTTCGAGGAGGGCGACAAGATCAAGATTATCACCAAAACGGCCCACGGGGTGGACGACGGTTGGTGGGAGGGCGAGCTGGATGGCAAGTTCGGCAACTTCCCCTCGCTGGTCGTCGAGGAGTGCGACGAGTTGGGCGAACCGCTCAGCGAGGGCGGCGACGAATCACCCCCGCCCACCGCAGCGCCCAGCTTTGCCCTGCCCCCCGCACCGGCCCTACCCCCAGAGTACGCCCACGAGCTGGAACTGGAGCTCACCGAGGACATGTTCGGCTCCCAGGACACGGCAGGTAAGCGATCGAAAAGCTTCCTTATTTCTGAATTTATTTTATGGAATACCAATATTTTTAAGGGGGATTTTAAATCATATTTCATTCTGTCTTTAAATTCATGAGTTTTATTGTATCATACTTGACTGAAAAGAGATTAAAGTGTGAAAATATCAGTAAAACTTATTTTTTTCGTTCACATAAATATAAAATTGATTAGGATGAAATTGAAAGCTGTTCATTCCTTTGTATTGCGTTTTATATCTTGTAGGGTCTTCGAATTTCTAGAAGGAATTTATTAATTTTTTAAGATAAATCTATTTATTTTAATTTTTATTTAAGTCTGAGTTTTTTAAACAGATTACAAAGTAATTAAATAAATGTACCTTATATTTAACATTAAATGTTGTAAAAATGTAAAATATTTTTCGAATAACAATAAATTCGCCTTCATTAACAGACGAGGATAGCGGCTACATACCCAACGGCGCTGCTGCCCCGAGTATGCCTCCGCCAGGTAAATGACACTCCCCTCCTTAACACCTGGTCTTTTGTTTCCCCTCTATCTATCTTTATACTATACAATATCTGTCACTCGATATCGATTCCTCTAGTACCGAACATTTGTATAATTTTTAACTTTCCACTATCAAAAAACAAAAAAAAATTAAAATATTTCCGATCAAAGTACTGTTATACCTGCTTCTATATTCTCTAGAGGTAAACCTATTCTCCAAAGTGCAGCTCGTCTAACTACTAACCACTTGTACCACTACTACCAATTCTCCACCAATCCACCACTAAACCACCACAAAATTAACAACAATTACCACCATTTATCACTGTAACTACTCTTCACTACTCTCCGTTAATGTGCTATTTTGTCTCTCGTCTCCAAAAGTCTCCGCAAGTCTCCGCAGGCGAGACGAAGTCCAGCGATGAAATGCCCTACGATTTTTTACAGTGTTATTCTTAGGCTGCTTGTCAGAAAGTGTCGTGCCGTGTTATCGTTATTTCTCCATCGATTTATTTCTTTTTGCAGCTTCTCTTTATCTCTCTATATATAAAAAGATATATCTGTGATTTGTGTGTGGCACTGATATTTAAATTGAATTGCATTTAATGCTTTGATTGGTTATTGATTTTTCGAAATATCACGTTTTTCTTTTTTTGTCGTTTTGCATTGATTGTTTTTCACTCGATGTAATTGTGTCTTTGTGTCATTTAAGGCCAGAACCAAAGCCAAACCACTGCCAAGAAGGGTAATTTAATAAATATGCTCTTTTATCCAATCTATCTAATCCCCGAAACTTTTCTTGATTCAGTAATAATTAGTGTAGGAAAATCTCTTTCAACTCCACTGTTCGAGAGCATGTCCTAAAACCCTTTCAACTTTTGTTCTACAAACTGAGTCTTTCTTCTTGGTATATAGAAACTATATATATGTTCAGTATGAGGTTTTTCTCCTAACTATTTATTATTAAATGTTATCCATAATTAAAAAAAAAAAAACAAAATATATACACAACAATAAAGAAAAGGTCCATTCTTTGTAAATATTTAAGTATAACCCAATCGGTTTCCATTTGTAGTTCAGTAATTACGAGTCTGAATTGGGAAACCAAAAATGTTCAAACAAAATCCCCTAGTTTTCGACCAATCTCCCGCATGATTGTCAGCCTCGGATCTGAATAAATGTATCTTATTATTTTACTTTTGCTGAATATTTATTTCTTTTTCGTTCCCCTTGCAAAACCTAATCGTGTACTTAGATAGTTTTTGTGCCAAGGCTGCCTTGATCCTTAGTTTCTTCCTCACCGCTCTATAACATTTCGATCGATAAAATGTAATAATAAAATATATATATTATCGAAATTATGATTGTTGACTAAGCCAATGAATATTTTCTCATTTATTTTTAACGCATACTCAGTACTCATCCAAGAGCCTGGCATGGAGGTAAAATATAAAATATATACTATACAAATATTTTGGATTTGTAGATTTATTTTAAAATACGCAAAACGATATTATTCCTTTTTTTTAATTTTTGTATATTTAAAGAGCATACTTTGATACCTAATTTTATAAAGGGAAACTTATACGTTTTATCCATAATTCTGTTAAAATAAAATACATTTATATATTTTTTTATGGTTTTATTTTATTTTTTACTATATAATAATAAAATAGATAATGATTTTTTTGCCATTCCAGGACGATCTCAGTGACGATGGGCAGCCGCCGCCGTCGTTGCCGCCGCCCCAGCTAACGAAACCGGGCGGATCCGCTCCTGGATCGGGAAATAAGGCCGAAAAGGGGGCGGCGGCTGGCGGCGCCAACACGCTGAACTTAGGTATGGCACAAATAATTGTTACCGCTGCAACCCCCATGGTTGAAGACGGTGCCGATAAATCTTTCCCACCAGTAGGCGAGGGCGATGCGAAGGAGCCGAAGGAGCAGGCGTCCAAGGAGCAGCAGCCGGCGAAGCCGGTGGCCAAGAAGCCAGATATTGCGCCCAAGCCGCTGGCCAAGGTGGCGCCTCAGGCCGCAGCGGCGGCGGCCAAAGAAGGTAATCATCCTGGTGGAGCGGTGAGGCCCGTGGTGAGCATTACACTGACCGAGTATCCATCCTGTGATGCAGAGGACCAGCAGTCCTTCTCGGAGAAGGACTCGGACTCGGCCTCGGTGGCCGATGTGCCGGCCCTGCAGGATGCGGAGGATCCGTTCAACGAGAAGGCCAAGGGCGAGTCGGGATTCGAGGCGAACTTTGAGGCGAACTTCGATGCCAACTTCGATGACGCCTTCGCCGGAAGCGGAGGATCCGGCGGCGGCGGCGGAGGTGGGGGCGGAGGCGGTGGGGGTCAGGCCAACGAGTTGGACATCAATGGAGAGGCAGCAGGAGAATCGGCTGGATCGGCGGCCGGCGAGGAGGATATTGAGGCACCCAAACAGGTGGTCGGTGGGCGAGCTAGCATACCCGAGGAATTGGACTCAAATCAATTGGCACGTTTGCAAAATCTGAAGGAGTCGAACGCTTAGATTCGCCGCTCCGGTCTCTTCCTCTTGGTCGGCACTTCAATGTTGTTTCTTTTGTTCTTTTAGGCACACGACCATGAGCATGATATATACTATAAAGACTATAGCCACGGACAGTTATAGAGCGGATCAGCGGAACACCACACCAAACCCCACAACACTTGAAAGCATTTCGATCTCACACCCATCCCACAACCTATCCAACAAATCCAAACACACAGATGATACAGCCTGACTCAGACGGACTAGCCACTTATCGATCGATCGGGTGGCGGAAATAGATTGTAGAAAGCTCTATTAATTGAAAATCCAATCCCCATAAATAGTTTATTTTGGCTGCCCGATTCCACATACAACGACACAATAGCAGGATATATATTATATATGTACTTAAATCTGAGGTCGGGATCCCTCTACCTCTCAAACTCCCTCTTCACTTGTAGCGCTCAAATTGTGTACATCCATTTGAATACTTCTTCTGACTGCCTCTGGGGTTATAGTTAGACATCAACTGGGCCTTCATAAACAAAACCACCATACGATATATTACTATATATAAATATAAACATAATTATGTTAGTTTGTAATGTGTTAAACCCTCAGAAATGTCTGAACAACATTGATATATTATAAATGGAATATTGTAACGTTTTGAAAGACAATTACTTATGTAGCACTCAGACACGGGTCTTCGTATATCGAATATCAGCATCCACAAAACTAATCGAGCAATAATATGTATATATATCTAAGTGAATTAGAGAATCCTTAAGTTAGCCATTCGCTTGAATATGCCGCCAACAAAAGCCAATCAACTTTAAAGTCAATTCAGTTGGTTTTGTTTTTCGCTTCTGTTCGCTCCACTTAGACCTAGGATCTCTGCACATTATAGTGAATTAATCGAAGCCGACAAGGAATGTATTGTACTCGAATCGCATGAGCGGATCCGGCGGATATATATTGTTGTAATTGTATGCAAAACTCTAGCCTAATTAGTTAAATGTTTTCGTGTCTAGTTAAATGGTCTAAGTTAATGTTGGATGCCAGAACGAAGATATTTGCAATTAGTAAAACGTAAAAAGCCTACTCAATGCGAGACTTTGTTTGCGATACTCGAATATTAAAGTTCATAACTCACCAATTGGATAACTTCATATTCACGTAACCGATATTACCGAACATAGATAACAATGATAAAACGATAAAAACCAAATATAAGTAAGCCGCAAACTGAATTGTATGTACTTTTTGAGCCCCGCCCAGTGAGTTAATCAAAGTTTTATGTCATAGTTTTGAAAAACCTTCTGTTCGAACAACTAACAAATAAAATTTCCACTTTAAAGCAAGAAAAATGTACTCTTTTGGGGGATATATTAAAAAACATTTGATTGTAATTTTTTACATATCTTTATTTATATTCACTTCATTGCAATATTATAATATTCCTTCTTGGTTTGCATTTTTCCCTTTGGATGTTTTTAGTTTTAGTATTTAACTTAATAATATAGGTTCCTTCTTGGGTTTTATCATTTACTTTCTTGTAACATTCATCTCTTATTATTTTCCCTTTTAATTATTTTGTTATGTGTGTGTTTATTTTTTATATGCTATAGATAATTATTCTCATTTCAGTTGTTTTTTTTTGTATTTTTAATTTGGTTTTTCATTTTATATAACGAAATTAACACAGTCAAAATTTGTGATCAGTGATCAATCATTACATACGCATTACGTTTTAAATTATTCCTCTTGGTTTCGCCTCCTCATCTCGAGGCTCCTCAAACATATGCTTGCTTATATACTTATGTGGGTGTTTCTTTTGGATCTCTGAGGCTGATGGGTTGAGCAACCGAAATTGGGAGCTGGGGGTTCGGAAATAATCGTCTGAGGGGCTGTGGAACCAATAATTGACAGCAGACCAATGTGAACTTGGGGGTGGGGAGCTAACAGAGCTAACAGGACTAACAGATTGCAGGCCGGCTGGCTGGTAATCATAAAACATGTTCATTTATTGCATTTAGGAACTCTTTTTGATGGACGGATAAAACCAAAAATTATATAGACACACTCCTCCTCGATGAGCTCTCAATAGCTGTTGCTGTTGTGACGATGGTATGAGACTTGAACCTGGTAAGTTGATGGCTGACAAATCATACACACATATCTATTTCAAAAGCCAGGGCCTGCGGGAGATGTTGGATTTGTTGGGAAACTGAGGGTGCTGGGGTCCCTAATCTTAAAATGTAATAACAAATTTTTCGCATTTTTATTTATTTTTTTAATTTGCTTGAGCAAAGGGTTCAACGAATAATGATTTCGGGGGCAGGTTTCAAAATTAATGCTCCGTAATAACAAACTAGGGGTATGCAACGTACAACCGTAAGTGTGTGTGTGTGTGGTGTGTGAATAGTGTGTGCTTTATCATTCTAACAATTCATGGTTCAATCAATATCTCGTCTGGCTGCCTAGGGTTATAGACTATTTCTCAATAATAATATTCACTTGCATTAACTTTGAATTCATTTTAAAAATGTTGTTAATTACGTTTTCGGTGCAATCGGCATGAACTGGGATCCGGTTTTTCATTTGGTGTAGCTGTATCTGATTCAGTATCTGTATCTGTGTCAGTTTCCGTATCTGTATCTGTGTGTTGTGTGGTTCAACTTAATCGCTAGGGCTCTCAACTTGTTGGTTTGCTTATCTAAATACTTTAGAATTTCATTTTTGGTTTTGCTTGCTTTTTGAGACCACCATACATATACATATAATATATAATTAAATATACATCATATACATACATACGTAATTATTACATCGCTTCACGTATGTATCATCGACCCTCATATAATTTTCTTATTTATTTCTCCCTTTCGGTTGCTTTATAAAACGTTGGTGTTGGTGTCGCCGTCTAAACAGCGGCACCAAAAATGCTTCAAACATTTCATTGTGTGTATAATTTAACATTTTACATATTTTCATCGTTTCATCGTCCTTATAATGCTTCATCCTCATTGTTTTTGTTGTTGTCCTAAATGCTCTCGCATACGCAGCACGTGCATATGCATTTTCATCGTCTTGCATCGTCGTTAATTGGTTTTTATAAAAAAGTCCTCGCTATGGGCAACTAAATTTTTTGGTTTTTCTCTTCCACAAATTATAAATTATACCGTAAACTAGGTTGTAGAGTAAAAAATTCCATATGAAAAATTAAACGCATCAATTTGCCATTAAGTGTTTTTTGTTCTCTTAAAATGTTTGTCAACTATTTCGCCTTTGCATTGTTTACAACTAAAATGGTTTTTTTTTTTTTTTTATTATTAATTTACGTTCTTTGGAAATACGCTCCGAAACCGTTGAGCAGCTATTTGTTGTTGTTTTCGCATCAAAAATGTATTTGACCTCATTTAGGGGATATCTTTTATTATATAGCATTTTTACAAATGAACCTCAGCCATTTGTAAACATTTTGATTTCTGTCTTCGGTAACATAATTGATTTCTGACACTTGTATAGCTACAAAATATATCTATATATGTGTGTGTGTTTGGGTTTTATATATAAGCAGATATATATTATTTATGTTCTTTATCACCGATTTCACTATTATGTTGCCGAGTCTCGGGTTATAACTATTTTCTTAGGGGAATGTTCTGTATGGCTGGTAGATCAATTGCAGTTTGCTTCAAATCCTTTTCACTTGGCTCAATAAATCATATATCAATCAGAAAATCAATTATTATTCTGGTAAACCTTATATTGCTTTCTTTTCGCTCAGAATCCTAGTTAAGATACTCCTTAGCCAACGGATGGTACAAAATGGGGTGGGGACTTTAATGGGGACTTTCCATAGAGCAGACAGACGATAGGTTGGATAGGATGGCTAAAGGGTATCAAATAGTCGAACCTCTCGACTCTGTGCTATCAATTATTTCAACTTGTTGCTTGTGTGTAAGTGTGTGTGTTGTGTGTCTGTCTAGATCGTTAATAAAGTAATTTTCCTTGGGGTCTCTTCGGTAGTCGTTCTGCTGAATTGGTTAGGTAGTCCTTAGAAGAAGGGTTAAAGGTTTTCGTCTTAAGTATATCTAGGGTTCCATAGCTGATCCATTTTGGGTCACGTCACCACCAACGTCCTCCTCCTCCTCATTCGCCTACACTGTCAGTGTTCCATTCATAAGTACTTTTCGTATATACAGTTAATTGTTTTTGTGTCTTTTTCGATTTTGTTTTTCGGATTAGGGTTCAATTTTGGTTTGGTTTACATATAAAAAACTCGTGCTACATATACGTAGGTGCCTAAATACGTTATATGAATATATATCTCATATACTTGTGTCGCCTTAAGCCATACTCTATGTACATATACGTGTGTGGTGTGGTTGTGTGTGTATCCCGGCCATATTATGGCGCTTAACTAAATCCTAGCTTTAACTTTAGCTAACTGTACAAAATTCTTTAGCCTTACGATCTGCCCTTGCACTAATCATAAACACTAAATTAAAATTCATTGATGATATTTTTGTATGGCTTGCTTAGTTATCTCCATTGTGCTAAATTGTATTTTAATTTCTTTATTTTACGTTTAAAGTTAAACTCACTTGCCTTTAATTATGTGTTTTATAATTAACTTAACTCTTTTGTTTCTTTCTCTTTGTGTCTGTGATTCATCGAGGAACTTGAGCGAAAATTCAAATATATATGTATATATACGTCGAGTATCTGTGTCTCATTGTCTGCCTGTCAGTGTTGGTGTGTTGCTGTGTATCTGTGTGTCATTAGGCTAACTTAAGACGGTGCATCGTAAGTATCTTTTGTTTGTTTATCGCTTTATTGACTGCTTGAACGCATCCGAGTTAATCGCTTAACCAGATTCGATTACATTAACTAAGTTTAATTGCGAAGTTTTGCTCCTACTTTGCTTTGAGAATGTTCCGAGTGTCTTCTGTTTGTATTTACAAATTGAAAATCAATTGTCTTTGTTTAACTCTTTTTTGGATTTTTCGTTTTGTTTTTTTCTCTTTTTTAGCAACTATTTGTTAGACTTATACGCTATTTTTCTTAGGCAGTTTCTTTCATACTTGTGTACTTTATGTTCTATGTTCTATTTGTATTCGTTTTTAATTTACTGGTATTTATTGGGCTTACTTGCGTTTGAAAATTTCACTTAGACTTTAGATTGTTTTCTTACGGTGCCGCAAAGTTGTCTTCGAAAAGTTTTTGTTTTTGTTTTTATTTTTCAGTTTGATTTCTGTGTTCGTGAGTGAGTGAGTGCAGTTTGAATAATTTGTTGTTAGTTTAAAGTTGATATAAAAATTGGTGTAACTAAAATGAATCGTTATCGTTCATATTATTATTTCGCTATGTCAATTGCACTAACTATTTGTATGACTTATCTCCGATGCTTGCTTATAAAAGGTGCGCTCCAAAGTAATTCATAATATCCTTGTCGATTTTATTGTGTGTGTGTCTTCAGTGTCCGTTTGTGTGTGTGTGCAAATGATTAAAAACCTCTCGATCTTACGTGTCTGTCTCGTGTTCGAATTACATTTAAATTTAACTTAACGAAATCATTCGCCAAACTGATTCGCAATTCTCGAAATTGTTACTTGCACTACGTTTTGATTTCTAATAAATTTGGCCATTTCACTTGGAAGCGCTAAGTCAGTTCTGAATAAACAAATCAACCAACTGAATGGGCAATCAATGGATCAACATAGTAAGTTCTGGTTAAGTTCTGGTTAAGATCTGGTTCGATTTCTGGGAGCGTGCAGCTGAAGAAGGGGGAACGCACTTAAATTAGAGGAAGACTCTCTGGGTGTTTTGCTTTTGAAGTGGGAAGCAAAGGTCTTTCGTTTCTTAAACTTAAACTCAGAACGCCGCAAAGATAATGGAAATTATTTAACCATCTACTTTATTTGGTGAGTTGAAATCAACTTTTCGACTGCGCTATTTCGAGGGTTTCTCATAGTCATCCTTCGTTTTCGATTTCGTTTTCGTTTAATGCCTATGTTGCGTATGATTTTTGATCGTTATATTTGTGGTTTTAATGGCTTCTTGTTACCGGTTCATATTTCTCCTAAACACTTTCACTTATGCCTTTCGTTATATAATTTTCACTACAATTTGCTAATCTGTTGCTTTTGATTATTCTTCATTCATTTATACTCATTTGGTTGTTAATTCTAATGTTGTATTTATCTTTTTTGTTATTCTGTGTAAATCTATTTAACAATATTCTTTGCTTTCGACCTTGTAATATGTGTGTGTCTTCTCCTCCTTGGTATTAAACAATAAACTGTTGCCTCTGCATTTTCATATCGCTAGTTAAAATTAGTTTTTTTTCCGCTTCCATTTTTTTGTGTCTATTTTTCAGTATTTTTTTTTTGGGATTTTGGTTTCTCCGTTTTTTGGTTTTTGTGTGGTTTTTCAGCGCCCTGCACAGTTTGACTCTCTCGTGCGCTGTTCACTCCTGTGTCCTTGGGCCACGCCCTCGAATCCTTGCGTCGTCGTCGTCTCTGCTGGAGGACGACACCCTACTCCTCGCCCAGGAGCACCAGATCATCGGCGACCACGTCGCTGACATGCAGGTAGATGATCCAGTACATCAGGTTGAAGCAGACGAAGCACACGGGGAATACGATGCGCGAGTACTTGTCGATGTCGGAGGGCGTGATGCCCAGCAGCTTGTTGATGTCCTGTTTCGGGGATAAGGATCAAGGATCAAGGAGCAGGATGGTGGGTTAAAAAATAAAATAGATTAGTAATTTTCTCCAGGGTCGACTAAACCGTTTTTAATCGCCGCATCATGTACGATCTTTACCTTTACCTTTTTTACTTTTCCCGGATGCAGTAGATGGGCTGGGACCGCTGCCTCCGGATCGCCGCCGCCCTCGGGCGGTCCGCCCCCTCCGCCACCGCCTCCTCCGCCGCCAGGCGGTCCGCCACCCTGCCCGGGACCCGGTCCATGCGATTGCGGACCACCGCGTCCGCCATTCACCGTGTTCTCCAGGGTGCCGCCCTTGGAGTGGGCCTTCGGGTCGTGGACCTTGAATCTCACCTCCTGGAACAAGGGTCCCACTATCGAGCAACCGCGCGTACCAACGTTTTGTTGGATATTGGAAAAGCCGATTGGGCGGTTACTCACTGTTTGCTTGGGCGCATGCGGATGACCATGGCTGTGGGCGTGGTGTCCATGCCCGTGGCCATGCTCCGGTCCCATGCCCATGCCCACGCCCACATTGACCCCGCCACCGCCACCGGGTCCGCCGGGTCCACCGGGTCCAACTCCGCCGGGTCCTACGCCTCCCACGCCTCCCACATTCGCATTGGGATTCGGATTCGACTGCTGCTGGTTCGCTCCATCGAGCTGTTGCTTTTTCTGCTCGGCTATCTTTTGGATCGCCATAAATCTTTGTTTTCGCATTTGAATTCGTTTTGCCATGTAGCCGACCGTGGCGTATTCTATTGATTGCGATATTGATACGATACGATAACGATTTTGGTTTTGATAATCGATTTTCAATTTGGATTTTTGATTGCAATTCGAATTTTTGCATGGATTTGGAATTTGGTCGATGGATAGTAGTTGATGGACGTTTTGGCATACGGTTTGGTTGTTTTTTTTTGGGGAGGGTTTTCGATTTTGATTTGTTTGTTTGATATGCGGATGCAGTTCAAGAATTCAAGAATTTTTTTTATGGTCGTGGTCGGTTGCCGCATGAAGTTCGGATGATATTTTTGGTTGTTGTTGTAGTAGTAGTAGTAGTCAGATATATATAGTTGGATATATTGTAGCATTGTATATAGTTTGGTAATTTGGTGCGGGTGGGTTTCGGTTTTCGGTAACGGTTTCGATATAATTTTGGATACAAGGAAAGACAAATAGAAAAACAAAAGAAATTTAATTTCCATTAAGAATTTTGTCATCAATTTCAATTCATTTTTGCACAACGTCTATAAGAGGTCAGCGGGGGGGTTAAATAGAGAGAGGGGGGATTTAGGAAAAGGGGCTATATAGAATATAAGAAACATTTAGAGTCGTTTGGGGGCAAATATTGCAGTGTTTCTGGGTTTTTGGGGTAAGTGAAATCAAAAATTAAGGTGAATTTATTTTCGTATCTCCATTTTAGCCAGGCAAAGGAAAATTCGAATAAAGCAAGTCTTGTGTGTGTGAGTGAGTTAGCAATATTCTAGAGAGAGACAGAGGAGGAGACAGAGCAATTGAAGTGTGTGTGTTTGAATGGCTCTGAATGTGTGTGTGTCTATATGAGAGTGAATGTGAGTGTGGGTGTGAGTGTCCGTGTTTAAGGTTCTTGTTCCTGTTGTATTTGTTTTGTTGTTTTTGTGAAATGAGTGGAAAAAGTCATTTGTAAGCCAAACGATTTATGTACACATTTATTCCTGCAGTTGAGACCATCATTCAAGGAAAATGTTCATGTGCGTGCCTTAAATGCAAATTCATTGAACAGGGTCGCCCGTTATAAAGGACACGAAAATTTCCAGCGTTTTATTTCTTTTCCAGCTGCTTTGTTCCAGGATTTCAGCCTCTAGAGTTGTCATATTATCCTTGGGTATGTTACGGGTTCGGATTTCAATTGAGCGGTGTTTTGTGGGTAGGGGGTTTTAAAAGGGGGAGTGGGTCTTTGAAATCGCATACTCGCCAATGGAGGTTGATAGAACAGGGGCGGAACAGATGTAACGAGTAACGAATAACTAGTAACGAGAGTACTTACCAAGGACACACAAGGTAACCAATCGCTGCAAATAGCCAATAGAACAAAACAGAAAGCAGACTACGAATGATATCTTACCTAACCTCTGATGGGTTACTATCTGGTGCGATTTATATATATATTTTTTTTGTTTTCCAACTTGGCAGCCTTCATGTCTGGGTCACCCCTTTAAATGACCCAAACTTGAGGGCTCCAAATCGCAGATAAATATTTTTTGTTTTTTAGTCGCACTTTTTTTGGTTCTCTCTTTTTAATCGGGGGCTCTGTAGTCTTGTAGAGAGTCTTCGTGGAGGGGGCTGCGTCTTCTGGCTGTTGATCGACGACTTGTTGAACCATATTTACAGTGTTTTGTGTCTGTTCTTATTTTTTCGTACTTGTTTTTTGATTCAATTCAATCGCGAGTCAAGCCAGGTGTGGCGCAGGGCATGCTGGTTTCGTTTTTTGATTGTTTTTGATGCGCTCCCTCTTAGTTTTTTTTTTTTGCTTTTATTTGGTAATGGTAATATAGATGTTTATATTTTTTGATCGTTCTACTCGTACCCTGGTTTGATTTTGATTTGATTTTGGTGCGTTGTTTTGTACATTTTTTTCGGTTTGCGATTTTTGCAGCTTGCATTTTTGCATTTTGGCGGAAGCTGGGCGTATATTGATATCTGGGTACCATTTCAGGTTGAAGTGTGTTCGATTTGCTCGTCTCGGGTGCTCGAACACAAACTCAACCTGAGTCGGCTATTATAATATGGATGGGCATGGCATATGGACGAGATACGAGAGCTCGTACATATGAAGAGGCTTTTGGAGGATGGTATTTGGTATTGGTATTCTTTTTGTCATTTTTGGCTGAAGCATGCTTCGATTCTAGGTGCGAGGTGCAAAACAGTAGGGACAGGTGGGACGTTGGGGGTAAATTTTCGTGCCTTTACGCTCGATTCACAGGCGCGTATCTATGAATTTGCATACATTTTCTTTGGATGACAGTTTTTCTTTGTATTGAAAAATTAACAAGAACATACAAATACGAAAAAAGAGATTTGTTTCTTTTGGGTTTCTTTGCAGTTTCTTTTCTTTTCTTTCTTATTATTTTTTTTCTTTTCTTGCTGTTGTTGTTGCTGTTTGTTGGAGTTGTTGTTGTAGTTGTGGGTGTAAGTTGTTGCTTGAGAATTGTTTTATTTGTTAGATAGTTAGAGAGAAAGTTAAAGTTAGCATTACGGCGGGGTCAGCACCGAAGCTTGAGATATATATGAGGAACAATTCGGAAAATTTTGATTATTTTAAAGGAGATAGCTGGCGAATATAGAACATATATCAAGCTTCTTTTTACTCAGGTCCCGACCCCTTTTACAGTGCCACTGGTGCAGTGCATCTCAGCATTTCGCTATGGATGGACTCTTTCTGGTCCTTTGGCTCCATAAGAAATGTGAAATATTTTTAAGTTTAAGTTTAAATAGATATTAAACTACTGTGGATTGGGCAAAACTCAGCTGCGTTTTCGCTACGCCAATTGGGTAAATATGTATACAAAATTCAGTTAGTAATTTCGCAAGACGCAGATCGTTTTGCCGAGGAAACTAGTGTGTGTTTTTTTTCTTTTTTGGATGTATCTGCAAGATTGTTTTGCACAACGCTAAGCGTGGCACGGAAAGCTGGCAAAAGTGTGGGTTAAGTAACGAAAGAACTGAAAGCTGGCACGCAACTTGGCCAGTATTATCGAAATTAAAAGGGTAAGGAAATCATAAGTTCGGAATCCATACAGATCCACTGCCTGTGAGTGTGAGGTTGTGTGTGTTTTTGGTGTGAGAGATAGAGAGTTATATGGGGAAAATCGTTTTGCTAGTGGTTGGATTTTCGCTCAATGGGTTTTCGGTTGTTTGGAATCGGTATTATTTTAAGGGGGGGTAGTAGTTTGGTAGTTTCGATAGTTGTTTGTTTACCCAGTAGACTGGCAAAGACCATAACGAAGCATGTTCCCAGATAGACGTCAATCGACTTGACGTACGAAATCTTTGGCAGCGCTGCATTTGTTGACGACATCAAAGTGGTCATTGTCAACACGGTTGTCACACCGAGCGCCACACGCGCCGGCGTTGCATTGCGATTGAGCCAAAATGATACCCATGATATAATAACGATCAGTCCAGAGGGTATGTAGATTTGTATAAGGTAGTAGCCCATCGAACGCACGAACTGAATTTCGCAGGCTAAACGCGAATAGTTGCCTGCCCGCCGCGCCAATTGCGATTAATGTTTGATTTTTGATTTTTCATATTTAGTTGGTTATTTTGGAATTTTGGTTTTTCGTTTCGTTTGTTCAGCGTGTTTTTGAAAAATGGGAGAAAGAGAGAGAGTAGAGAAAGATGGAAAAATATTATTAGTACTTGGTTCGCTAAAATGAATTTCATTTGCAAATATTTACAAATAATATTGCTGTTAGAGTTGGCAAAACATCAATTAGAATCCAGACTTATTGCATTTTACTATTAATCTTTGAATGGTTAAAAATAACCATTGAATTAAAATAAATCATCGATGTTTGGCCAGCTCTTAGTAATAGGTATTCATCACCAAAAATAAATCCACAAAATCAAACTTTGAACTCGAAAAGTAAAGATAAATAAAACTCTAAGAATAGAAGAACAAAATTAAGTATGAGCGCATTTTTATGTGAAATTATGATTGGCTGGCACCTTCCTGGAAATATTGTTAGTTTCGATCTATACGACGCTTCGTTATCAGGCAGGCAATACTTCATAAACATATATAATTAGGTACTTAAATATGGGCTATAAACGAAATGGCAAATTTTCAAGACAAAGCTCGGGTCAAGAACTAAACTGGAAAAAATATTCTAGGCATTCCACATTTATCCTTGCAGAAGGATATGTACTTTACTTAATTTTAAATGCATTTTTTTAAAGAATTTTCTAAGCATTCTGCAAGGATGCCTTCGCTTCGACTAAACCGAAGCAAATAATCGTTTTTTATTAAAAAATAAATTCTTTTTATTAGGTGGTTAGTCACAAAAACTTTAGGAACAGAAGTGGCTTGCAGTAGAGTAACTAAAACTGACCGCAAATCTTAAGAAAATAAGTAAATAAAACGATAAGAATTATGAGTAGAGGCAGCTAGTCTAAGACCTAAAAAGGAGCATTTTATTGCCTGCAGTTTGTGGCTATTTGTCTATTGTTATATTTATTTTTTTAAGGATTTTGTAAAAGAAACTTTATAAGATGAGAGCATGCTTGGGAGGGCGTTTTGTATTTTCGATATATATATATTTTTAATTTTTTTGTTGATATTTTTAACTTGTTATATATAAATATATATATATTCAGTATGTATAAATGGTTTGAGCTTTTCATTGTCTTTCGTTCGTTAATTTTGCAAACGTTTGAATACTTTTTGCGTAGGGGAGTTGATTAGGATTTTAATTTATGTTGCATAACTTTTTCGATTTTGGATTTTAAAATTAATGCTTTTGTGGCAGTTGTTGTTGTTGATTTACAATACAGAATGTTCGGTGTTGATTGTTTTCAGTTGTTGTTCGATTATGCTAATGAGTTTCGATAGCGTTTTAAATTACTGGTAAATACGTTTGTAGATAGCTGATGTTTTTGGTAGTAAAAACTATTTTCGGTGACTAGTTAATAAAATTATGTGTTTCGTGTGTGAGTCTGAGTATGAGTGTGGGTGTTTCGCTTAAAAAGCTTAAAAAATTGGTTGATTATGTTGTAATAATGTCAGGCATAAATCAAAAGCATGATTTACTAAGGAAAAGCCATATTCATATTTGCTATATCGATTACTTTAGGTTCTCTTTATTTTTGCATAAGATTATTTTCACTTTGCTTATTTGGTTTTATAATACAAAGGTCGCTAAGTGAATTGTTTTTCAATCTCATATTGATTTCTTTTTGATTTGGTTTGATTTTTGTCGTTTTTTGCTTGGCATTGCCAATTATAAAAATTGGGTTTGTTTATTTTGTTTTTGGTTTCTGTTCTTGTCATGGTTCGCTGTAAAGTATGAACTTATGAGCGTTGAAATCAAGGCGGAATCAACTGAGATTTGGAAAATAAAAGTAAGCAGAAAGGAAAATCATTTGATGAACGAACTAAATTGGAAAATTGTTGCTAGCTTGTAACATGCGTTGATTTTGCGTTTAAAGATATATGAACAGTATCCGGTAGGTACGAGTACGAGTTAAAGTGGGAATCGTCTATTTCAGGCTGTCTAGACCGTAGACTATGAAGTGGGCTAATGTTAAATGCTCTTGTTAATTCTATGGTAATTTCAATTGTTAACGTTATTGCACTTGGTATTCGGTATGCTATGGATTAGATTAGTTGATGAAACAAACGCTAGCTAAATGGAAAGTAAATTAGGTAAAAATCTTAAGATGCTTAGCATGCATTTTCTGTTTTTCGGCGAATGAGCCTGCTTGAAGCACTGCCTCTCTGATTGTTCAAATCAGTTGGTCCTTCAAGCAGGCTTCGATTCCACCGAGTTAGTTAGCCCATGTTGTTTTTTGGCAAGCCTGTTTAATTGAATTTTGGAGAACTTTGTACAAAATGCTGCTTGAAAATTATTTTGAATTGAGAAACGAATGAAAACGAATCGAAATAATAAGCCTGAAGATTAGAATTGAATCGAAAACGTAAAATCAAAACGATATATTTATATATTTGTAGTTATATATAGATAAGTCATCATCGGTATTATCGTAAATATATAGTAATATGGTAAGTAAAAGTAAAGTTTGAAAGAAAACCGGTAACCGTCTACAGGTACCTGTGGTAAGACTGATTTCCATAGCTCTTTGGCGATGACCCAAGACCTTAAATTGGGGCAGCGAAACCTCACTCGAGACACCGACCGAGTTGGGGCCTTCGTTCCATTTATAGCGGATGTCACGCATCGTGTAGCCGACTATATATGGTGTATATAGTTGGTTGTAGTTGCAGTTGTTGTTTTGGTTGTTGTATTCGTTGTAATTGTTGTTATGTTTGCAAGTTGCAATTTGTACAGTTTGGTGTTTAGTTTTTAGGGTTTTAGTTTTAGTTTTGTATTTTGTTAGGCGAGTTTATATTACAGTTGTTGTAGTTGTTGTTGTTGTTGGCACAGTTCGGTGGTGAGGTTGTCGTTGTTGTAGACGAAAAATATGCATAAAACAAAAAATACATTTCGTGAGACTATTAATAAGTTCTATTCTATAATAGAAAATTTCATAAACAATTAAATACAATTCATTCGCAGTGTGTCTTCTTTTTATTTGTTGTTTTTTTTTTTCGTTTTTTTTTTGGTGTTTAAACCTTTTTGATTCGGTTGTTGCATTAATAGTCTCATTCAGAACTTGTCGCTTTAAGTGTTGTTCAAAAATATATTTTTTGATTTATTCCATCAAGAAGAAACTCTAAGATTATTAATGGTTGTTCGTATATTACAATTGCGCTAAAAATGCATTATAATTGTTATATTTCCATTGTCAAAGCGTAACTGGGTTAAAGATTGAGGAGCTTTCAGTAGGCACGCTCTGGTTGACTTACAGCTACTGTTTGTTCTTATTGGCAGTAGTAGGGTTGCTTAGGACTAGAAAACTTATCAGTTAGCATATCTAATTGTTTTGGTGTCAGAAATGGGTGCTCTTGTGTTTTCTGTTTCAAGGGTTTTAAGCCTTTTACATTTTTTCTCAGGCCTTTACTTAAGTAATTCTTAGATTTTATTAGCGTTTTAGTCGCTTTTGCCTACCCAAGCAAACGAAACTGGACTCTCTTGCGACTCGAAACGAACTGAAATTGAAACGGAAATGGAGGAACCAGAAATCATAATCGCTGCGCCTAACTAACGCTCACTACGTCACTAACTGCTGCTTTACTGATCGGTTAATCGGTTAATTAAACCAAAAAGGAACGTATAAGCAAAGGAATAGAAGAGTAGAGAATAAAGAACAAATCAACGAGTAGTCACAACAGAGGTTAGTAGAGGACACTTCAAACACAATATATATATTCGTTTATATGTGGTTTAGATGGGTAGGTTGATTGGGGTTCGATTGTTTCTGGTTAGTAGCACAGGTTACGGTTAGCACTCGATAAAAAGAGTTGTAGGCAAATATATATGTATACATTGGTGAAGGAGAAGTAGTAGAAGTAGACGGAAAAGAACGAAAAACTTTGGATGGTTAGAGGTGCGTGTTTCGGTACTTGGATATGCGCTAACCCTTTTTGGAAACACAAAATCAAAATACGATTACGAAAATCCATTACGACAAACGCAAAACGGATAAAAGTTCATTGAAAAATGCTTGTCAAAAACAAAGGAAATGGTAATGTGATTATATTGATGTTTTTTTTTGCATATATATATATATTTTTTTTAGTTGCTTGTTATGATTTTTTTAATGTATGGGGGTACCTGTGGTTAGGTTTATTTCGGTCGCCCTCTGCCTGTGTCCCAAAACTCGGAACTGCGGTAGTTCGACCTCACTGCTCATGCCAACACTACTCAGTCCATCTCTCCAGAAATATCGGATATCTCGCATCGTGTAACCGACTTCATGTTGTTGAAGATCATTGTTGTAGATTGGATTGTTGAGTAGTAGTAGTAGTGGTTGTTGTTGTTGTTGCAAAAAGGGGGTTCAGTAGTTAATTAATTGATGTTATTGTTTGTTTGTTCTGTTTTGGGTTTGGTGTTGGATGTTGGTTGTTGGTTTCTGGGACTTATACACAGAATACTTGACTCACACACTCGAAGTTTGGTTCGGTATAAAGCATAAAGAGTCTTATAAATATAGGGTGAGTGTGAGTGTGGCATTTCTTGGGACCGATTTCTGTGACGAGTTTTGACAAGGAAACTCTAGACGTAAATGATGGTCGTATCGGACGTATATACAATATATAGATCTTAAGCAAAAGCGTGCTGTGTATGGGTTTTGACTTACAGTACTTGTAGTATAATATAATAATAATTAACTTAGGCTAACAGGGGATTGAGGGGAATAAGTCGAGTTAAAGACAGAGGCGGTTTCACAAGGATAATCATCATATTCATTACTCATGGGTTGTGGAGCCTTCTGCGGTTGCTGAAATTGAGAAGGCGACCGAAAACCAACCAATCTTCTGCATGATTTCAGCGCCATGATATTGTGAACTGTTGATAGTGATTTTTTATAGTTACTGATACTGGTTGATAGCTGTTGGGTAGAACATTCGGGTAGATGCAGATAATAATGCACATGAACTGGGTTTACATGTGGCACTTGAACTTTTATTTTCGGGTGGCTTCAAAAAACAAAACGTAAACGACCAAAAATATCTGAGGTGGAGGGCTTGAGCTATTTGAGAGTAATTGAATGAGTTGGTGGTTGGTGGGGCGTGGGGACAATTTTGATTGAACAAAATATGCACAACGAACTAAAAACGGATATTCGAAATAAAAATTAAATCTATCGAGAGCTGGGATTGAAAATAAACTCCTTGTCGCCTAACCTCTGCCTGAAGACAATTTAATTGACGTAAATTCAATTCGATTTCCTGCTATTTGTGGCAACATAATTGCTCTGTTCACAATTGTTCATATCAAAGGCGACTTAATTGCTTTTTCCTCAATCGAATTCGTGTGTGTGTGTTCGTGTGTTTTGTATCTGTGGCACTTAAAATTTACTTGCTTGCATTTTAATTGTTTCGGTTTGGTTTGGTTTGGCTTGGTTTCTTTCACATAAGCTTGTTTTCGATTTTCTGCCCACACCGAACAAACAGCGCACGGCCTTTGCTTGAGAGTTGAGAGCTCGGCATTTTGGAGTGGCCAAAACGGTGTGCAGATGGTGGCTAAAAGGTGCAGGCTACTGTAACAGGCTAAAATAACAGGTAATTGCAAAGCTCTTGACAACACTGGATAATTGAGCAATTTTCTGGGCCAGAAAACACTTCATTTTGGCCACTCCCCTGCCGACATTCTGAATGAGTTGGTTTCTTGTTTCACATTTTGCATTTATCACATGGTTCATTGACAATTTTCACAAATTTCATCATCATCATCATAATATCGTATTGTTATAATTATTTGGCTAAATTTCAGTGGTTAGTCAGTTCAATGTACTTACAGCTTTCGATTTCAATGTGGCACAGCTGGCGATCCATGGGGAAATATTGTAGATTCATCGGACACGATGCGGTAATAGTCAATCTAAATGGATTATTTCACATTTTTTTTTTTGGGCATTGGGGAAAGAGAGATTATACGATTAGTAGCGAATTCAAGGGTGGCCAGGTGAACATCAACAAACAAACGAGCAGAGGGTTCAAAAAATGACATTCTATTTTATATACACACAACATTTACGAGGTTTTAGTGGGGGTTCAAGGGGGTTTTCAAGTCATTACATACAGAGCGAGTTCAATTGGATATGAGCTATTTGTTATATATATTTTTGCTGCTGTTTTTTGGTAAGTGAGAGATACTTTGAGTGGCAGTTTGGTTGTAGATTGTGAGGCGATTGGCTCTTACGCAGGGTTTAACATTATTTATTGGCTTACTTAGTTGTCGTTGGTTTAATTGTTTGATTGTTGCTTACGGCTACGAAAACTAAACGCTACTCATACTTATTTTCTTTGTGGCTGCTGGGGTTTTTGTGGCGATTTTGGACAGATTCTTGTTTAAAGGTAGTAGAAAAAAGAGCGCCCAGTAGCCGAGCTACTGCGGCCAGTCAAACCTTTTGCGGTGTCAAAAACACGTGAGACAGAAGGTACCTTCGATAGTCATGCAGTCCCTGCTTTTCGATGGTTTTTGGTTCCTGATCTTAATTCTTGTGGTTGTTGTGGGGGAAATGCGTTTGTATCTTTCATGAGCCACACAATTGGGGATGTCGAAGTGATGGATAGTATAGTTCCATCCTATCGATGGTATGAAATGATTTATGTTTTCACCAGCCAATCGGGTCAGATATGTTGTTCACCATCAGATCAGAAAATAAAACTCAAAATACAATTTCATAACGATTTTCAGCTAATTGTCGATACAATCGATAGGCACCGATAGTACAATCGCACAGTTTGCACCTCTAACCGATGACTTTCATGAAATGTACAAATCATTTGAAGCTGCGTCGCTCGAAATTTGCCAACTTTCTTTCACTTTCACTTGCCAATTGAACTCACTTGATTAGTTTTAATCTCATTGAAGAAAACTGTTTTTCGTTCTGTAGAAATTTTCCATTTTCAATTAGATTTAGTAAATTACAACATCGATTTATACACACACAGAAAAAAAGTTAGTTGCAAAAAGGGCCAAAAACGATAAGTTTAACGATAGAGTAGAATGTTTGAAGTATATTTTTTTTTGGTTGGTTTGGTTGTAGGTTGTTTTTTTCGGGTTGGTTTTGGTTTTGTTTTTGGTTGTAGGGTTAGTTTGTAAAATAGTTAAATACACATACACATATACAGACAATTAAAAATGTTAATGTTCGCTTTCATTGAGAGCATAGAGTGTTGGGAGTTGCAGTAGTTGAGTTGGTTTTTACCTAATACTTCTTGTTATCGATCCAGAATGATGCACACGTATGAATTCATTAAAAAGGTGTCAGGTACCCAAATATTCTTAATGAACTCTGATCCAACCGATAGTGTTTCTACACCAGGTCGTTTTCTATACGCTAAACGAGGATCGGTCCAAAATTGACGAAAGTAAAAATCCAATGTGAAGTCCTATTCAATTCACAATTCGATTCAATTCGATTCGATACGGTTTCGGTTTTCGGTAAAAGAGGGTAAAGGTAGCAGAAAGAGATTGAGAGGTTATTCATATTAGTAAACATCGGCAGTGAGCACTTACGGATCTAGAGTAACTAAAAGACTAGTAACTAAAAGTTTTGTGTGTTTTTAAAAATTGATTTAGATCAACTAAAAAAAATTCATAGAGAAATCGATAGAGAGAATTTGTGGAAACTAGGAGGAAAGCTTTTCTTTTTGGGCACAACAGATACACTTAATAAACACACAAAGAAAGAAACTTGCGGCAAATGTTAACCAAGGAAAATTCATAACGTGCAACAATTTCTTCTTATTATCAATTTACACAGGAAGAAGGGACATAGACATAGGGGGGTCTCCAGACAACATGCAAAAACATCGAATTGAAACTTTATACAGCATTTTCGGGGGAGGGCGGTAATGAGATCTTGAAAATAACCGAAAAATAAACGAATTAAATGAAATAACTAAGCTTATTTACATTAGCAATAGAAGGGGGTCTTGGGATCGGGTAAGCGTTTAATTAGTACAGAAACCTCTCACAAATATTCGTATGGATTCGTTGCTGTGATTGTGAAGTAGCTTGGCTTTTCTCTGGCTACTAACAGGGGTTGTTGGGCTTATTATTACTAGACTACTACGGCATCTATGGCAACAGGCTGGCGGGTTGTTATTTTTGTACGCTTTATACAGTATACAGTATCGTTGGCTTTTTGGCTTTCTAGCTTTTTAGCATGGCTCTTTTGTTTCAGCTGTTCTTGTTCTGCTTTTTGTGCCTCGAAGCTAAGCGTATTGGGCTACGATTGGATTGTTTAGAATCGGAGTCGATTGGGGGATTGGATTGGATTGTAAAACGACAAACAATTTGGTTGTGTTTGCTCTGTATCTGTATATATTGTATCTGTGTGGTCTGTGTGCGTGTGTATGGGTATTGTTTTTCGGGTGGGTGGGTTTTAAGGGGCGGATAAGGACAACTACTCGAGTTGTTTCTCTCAGTCTTGCATATCATTATCTTCAAGCGCGTCACGTGGCCGACAAGGAACCAAAAATTAAACGGAAAAGCATGTAAATGTAAATGTTAAAGGTAAATGCAAATGCAAATGTAATAATAATAGTAGTTGTTATTGTTGTAGTTGTAGTAGTAGCAGGTAATAACATTTGTAAGTAGTTATAAATATTTATGGGGCGCACACTGCTTGCTTTTTGGGTACTTTGCCAGTACTTTAACGCTCGCTGAGAGGTGCTAGCTGGCATGTGTGTCTACATGGCGTATACGTATTTTGTATTTTGTATTTTGTATTTTCTATATGGCTATGTGTTTTATTTATGCTGTGAAAATTGCACACGGTTCTCGTGGGTTGCCTGCAATCTTCCCCTGGCTATTTATATAGCAGATTTGGTTTCCACTCGGCTTCAGGCACGCCCAAAACAAAAACTCAAACACAAATTTAACTTGAAAACGAATCAAAACTCAAACGTAATCGAAAACGGAAATAAAATTCTGGGTGGATTATGCAATTTCCATAACTCTGTTTTTTTTTTTGGGTAGTGGGGTTGTTCGCTTTGCAAAAAGGGTTCTGGGGGTCAACCTGGATTTTCGTATTTTTATATTCTTGGCACACACACAAAATCAACTCTAAATACGAATACTTATGTGCATGACGGTATTTATAGATGGTTCGCAATTAACCCCAAACGTGAGAGGGTCTATCGAGTTGATTGTTTTATTTTTATATATCTCTTTATAGCATACCATTTACAATTTACATATGTATAGACATGTGTGTGGTGTTTTTCGCTGGCTTTTTTATTTGTAACCTCATGTCATGTTGATTTTAACTGCCTCGCTGCTCGCCTGAGTTTCGATTGGATTGGACGGGTTGTCTTATGTAAAATTGTCAGGGCTTACATAGAGAAAACAAAGATAGTGTCAAAATGCATTATCTAAGAAGGTTTTGTTTTGTTCCTATGAAAAATATTAAACATGATTGACTTTACTACATAAATTAATATGATCTATCCATCCCATATTTTAAATGAATTTAAAGTTACTCTGTTTAACTTTCTTTTAAAATATCAATTTTGTAAGTTGACTTATTCTCTGTCAAAATATTCCCAATTCGACATTGTTTAATATTATTTAAAATTTTAGTAAATTTACGTTTTTATATCAATTATTTATTCCAAAACTATGGTTTTTCTCAGTGTAGTGGCAACTGTTACTGTGTCTATGTGTGTGTACGCGTGTCGTTCTTCTTGTTTCGGTTTGGCATTGGCTCAGTTTATTTTGGAATTATTTTTATTAGCAGCGTAGCAATTCTGTTATTTTACCGGAATGTCGCGAAATGTGGAAATGAAAAATTGTCATGTTAGAAATGATCGGGCTGAAAATGAACATGTTGATGTTGTTGTGGTTCTTGTTGCTGTTATCCTTGTTAACGTGTTTTCTTTTCTGGATTGTTTTCGGCAGTATGTTCGTGTTTACGTTCGTGTTGGGCATGATATTTTCGCATAAATTGATTGCCAAAGCCAAAACGGTGCGATTGTGTTGGTTGTATGGTGTCATACGAATATTTCCTTAAGGTAAAAACGGTGAGAGTGTGTTCATATGTGTATGCAGCAAGAGTGCAGCAAAATCTGTGTGTTTGTGTAAGTGAGTTCCTATTAAGTGCAACGTTTTTGCGACTTTTTCAACGAAATCTTTAGAGTACTTGCGAATTTTCGTGTGTGCCAATTGAGGTGATTTTTATCCATCTGTCAGATGCTCTCTTTTTGTCACACTCGACGATATTAAAGTTATATGAAAGTCAGACGATAAGAACGATAATTTGTGAAAAAATGGTAAAGATAAAATCAAAGAAATGAGTTTCCTGAGAACTACAATTTTATTAATCCCCCGGAGGCTTTAGGTTTGTTAAATGATTTAGAAAAGCTCTTTAAAATACAATCAAATCACTCAACCAATAAGAACGTGCGACGTACAGAATATGGATAACTTTATAGATACTTTTAGAATATAAGTTAAAATCCAATTTATTTTTTAAGAGAAATTTTAGAATATAATTGAAAATAATTGATTAAGACTTTCTGATTTTCTTCCTGTAAGAGTAAAATGAAGGAAAACGAAAACACAGAAACAGGCATAAATGAGTAGTCCCTTCGTACAATTAGGCTAAGTCCATAAATCGTTTGACGAACACATCGACACCGAGCTTGAATATATTTGTATGCTATATATGTATGCTGTGTGGATTATGATATTCATTCATATTCATCTTGTTAACAAATACGCATGCGCGCAGCCTTTGTCAATGCGGCCGCTGTGATTAATTTGATTTTAATATTTTAATATTTTGCATTTGACCAGATCACAACAAACAGAATGACGGTTATATGAGAGAGTATAGGTATAAGGTGGATATATGAATATGGCATAAATATCTCTCGTTTCTCTGGGCTGGGTAAGGGGTTTGTCCCATCATAGTGTCACTGTGTATGTGGGCGTGGTGGAATGGATGAACTTTGGCCATGTACTCGATGGGGCGATAAATAAAGATTTATACAGCAATTAGATTGATTGACTTTATCGCAGTTACTGCTTTCCATGAAAATTCCGAGATGGAGGGATGCGATGGCGAGAAAGAAATCAAAAGGCAAAAAACTGAAGCTGAACAAATGGCAAATGGCATTTCAAAGCGTCAAAGTTGAGAAAAAGATAGAGATAGCGAGAGTGTGGGCGAAAGAGAGAGCAGCACGGGGTCTGGACCCAAAGAGTAGCATCGGAATGTGTAAAATTTGGGGTAATTTCAATGTAGTACGTATATTTCGGTTTGCATTGTTCTGGCCGAGAAGCTTTGAAATGGAACAACAAACATTATGGCCTATTGCTTAACATCGAAACGATAAACACAAAACGAATATGCAACATTTGAGTTTAATAGTTGGCAATTGCATTGCAATAACGATTCGTTTCACACAACATTTAATTGGCAGAACTTTGTATATTTATATTGGTATATGTATAACAGATATTGGTTTGCAGTTGGCTTTGAATGGTCGAAACGAACACAATCTTAAGTGAATCAAAGTAATTGTAATGGATTTGTATGTCTGTTGCCAATTAGCGAAATTAAAAGGATAACAAATGCTAAGACACAAAATGAGCTTTAAGCAACAGAGACAGACATAGAGAGAGAGAGAAACATATAGTAAAAGAGACAGAGATATTTATAGAGAGAGAGCGAGAGATAGTTACAGGTAAGAGGTAGAGACTGAGAGAAATTAAGAAGTATACGAGTAGATTTATGAATTTTTTTTGTTTGCTTTACCAAAAAAAAAAGAAGGAACATTTGTTTTGTATCTGTGGTAAATTGTATTTATTTTTTGTTTTTATTTTTATTTTTGGCATATATTTTAACGTATGTACCATGAGAACTTCCGAAACCGAACTGATACTGAGGACATACATTGTGACGCCAACCTCCACAGGGGGACCTGCAACATATACACACACACGGATTGATGGAATTTTCATTTTGCGTTTGGTATGGTTATACTGTAGTTGTAGTTGTTGTTATTGTAGTTGTACTGGTTCATGTTAGATGTGGCTAAAACCCAAAAGATATTGTATGAGAACTGAAACACACACACAGCGGTACGAGTACGTTGACATATTGTTTGGTTGCTTTTCGCTGCCTACTTTCGGGCGCCCTTCCTTGGGCTCGTCGGGTGCTGTTTAATTTCCATTAGCAAAATTAAATACATAAGGTACGGTTAACACTTAAATTGGCAAGCGGTGTGCATTGCTTTGCTGTTGTATTTTTGGCTGACTATTTGTTTGTTTTTGGTGGCTAACTAAATTTGTGTTCGATGCTTTTGCTTCTGTTTTGTTGCACGCGCCGAATGAAAACCAAATCAGTTGACTACTCGAGGTTGTATTTTTGTATCATGTATTTTCAGCTATGCGAAAGAGAGTTGCATTAGCTCAAAAAAAAAACAAAGGCGCCTATTAAATAAATATCTATGTTAACTAGTGGACTATTTGGTTTTGAGTAGCGGATTCACACACCATTTTTCGTTTGCATTGCTTATTTAGAAAGAGATTTTTAGTTTGTGGGTATTGCGATTTGGCAGCATTTATGTAGGTTGTGAAATTTATCTTGAAGCTTGTTATGAGTTTTATGTGGGCCTACAAAAAAGAAGAAGACGAAACAATACGCATGAAGTGAGAGGCAAGAGTTTTGCTTGGAATGTGAGGGGGTTCAAGATCCGGAAGGTTTGAAATGTTGATGGATTGTTTGTTACTGTGGCTGTTGTTTGTATGTGTGTGAGGTTTTCTTTTCATTTTCGGGTAATTTCGATGTGCTGGGCCAATTAGACATACACAAACACACACAGAGGTTAAAGTGACGGTGAGCACAGAAGAAAGTCATTTTGTAGAGCTTAAGGAACATAAAAAGCTTTTGCCAATCGTTGGTTTTGATGGGTTCGAGAGTTGACATTTAGTTTACAATGTGTTTGGCGATGTGAGAAAAATATCGTGGCAAGTACTGAATAACTCTGGGCCCTATAAATTCTGGCTTCAGGGTTCGTATGGCTCGTCAGCTCCTAACACAGACCTTTTCGCTGAAGTATTCATTTCGGGGAAATGAATGCGAAATTGTTGGAAAAAAACACTAAAACACAGCTGCTATAAAACGAACTAAACATTCGGAAGAGTTAGAGCTTGAGAGATTTAGTACCAAAAGGGGAACTGATAAGGAAATAATACGATACAAGTATAAATAGAAGGAAACACAATAGGTACGGGTGTGGATAAGATTCGCAAATAACGCTTTCAACTGGTGTACTTTGGTCAACGGTTAGAAATAATAGATCGTTCTATCTATATGAAAGAGTGTTCGGAGAGATAGTTCATACAAAGCAAAACAGTTGAAAGAAACAGTTGGTAGTACCACGGAAATCAGAAATCAGGAAATCAGAAATCAAGACATTTTTGTGTGTGTGTGGGAGTGTGAGAGAGCAACAAACTAATGCGTTTAGTGGTACGGAAACAAATGAAAACTCGAAAGAAAACTCCAACAACAAAGACCAAAGACAGAGAGATAGAGTTAGGAGTAGATAGATAAGTAGAGATAGAATGCGAGAGAGCGCTTAACGGTAATAGAAAGGTACAAGGTTCAATTAGTTTGTACCATTTTCACTTCTGAGAGCGAGCTGATCGATAGCACATACATGGTGACTCCGACTTCGACAGGAGGTCCTGCAAACACGTATGTTATAGTAGGTGTTAAAGTACATATCTAAGTACGGGTAGGTATAATGGGTTAGTCTAGTGTTGTAATACTCGGATCCCAGATCCTAGATCCCACTGCGGTCCTAGAACATCCCTATACATTGGATACATATTGCATACCGGGCTGTGCCCCCATTTGCATTTCGTTCAGTCGCGTTGCGTTTTGGGTTTGCTTTTTTTTTTTTTTTTTTTAGCTTGTAGCTGGGTAAGTGTAGCTAGATAAATGGGGTGTCCGGATATTGGTCTACTTACCACCATAATTGGGTCTTACTCTTTTGTCGTAACTAACACTAAAGGAGTCGAGTATAGCGGATATGTTTACGTCACCCAGCATGCTGCCACCGCCAGTTCTGCAAATAGAAGAAGAAATTATTAGTTTAAATTCTAGATTAATTCGTTTCACCAACAAAACTAATACAATCATTATTATTAGGGATTTATTTATAACTTTTATTACAAATTAATTATTTTCTTAGCCCAAATCGGCATTCTTAAATTAATTAGGCATAGTAAAAATCTGTTTAATTTTGCATTGTAAATTCAGAGTTAAATAAAATCATTAAGGAATAAGTTTAGCTTCAGAGCTTCCAGAGAATGACTATTATAAAAATATTTTTATTGTTTCAAGTAAAATTAAAATTTGAATTAAAATGTTAACTAATAGAGAGCATAGATTTCATAAATATATCCTAATATGCATTCCAAACTTTTGTGGCATCTCTTATTTAAAGAAGTTATTGATAGACAAAATTTAACTGTAATGAGGGCGAGTGCCTATTTGCTCGGGGCATTTGTTGCTGTGCATAATTTCCATATGGAACGTTCAGCATTTCCTGGAAAAGCGCCTGACAGTCGACACAGACATTGCGCTCGGCGGTCGTTGCAGGTTAAGTGTTCATGTGGCACTCGGCGTGGGTGTGCCACTTTCGCTTTATGCGGCATCAAGTGCGCCCCCAACACGAGCGTTTGTATGTAATATTTATTGCATGTGCCTGGCAATGAAGGCACAGCACAAACATACGCTATACGCCAGTTGCCAGTTGCCAGTCGCCAGGCACTTCAATGCCTGTTTATTTGCGTCTATTCTACGCTAAACTGTGCTATTAAAGCGCGTTTGTTGTTATTCCAACTCTGCGAAAGCCATTGGATACACAGCTCTCGGTTCTCTGGTTTCTGGTCTCAGGACTCAGGACCCCAGGTCCCCAGAGCGATGTGCGATGTGGTGTGTGCGTGCTGGTGAGCAAAATCACAATTTAATAAAAGTTGCGCCTGCAAATAAACAGAAAGCCGACTTTGCCTCCCGATGTGCGCCTGCGCGTTTCCCGGAGCTCAGTGTTGTCTCTTTTGCCTTTCCATATATCCTGCTTGCCATTCATTTGTATCGGAAATATATACGTACAGCCATTTATGTGCGAGTATTTTGCCCAATTTGCACATTCACAAGTCAATTGTTGTGGCTGATTTGCTGATTTGATGCGATTTTAATTTTGCAGCTCACAAAAGTCGAAAATAATTTTTGTAATCAAGCCTGGGCGTGCCGTGGCCCACATTCTCTCGCCGCTCTCTCCCGCTTTCCTGCTATCCTGCCATCCTGCCATCCTGCTGTCCTGCTTCCCCGGGTTTTCCTCTCCAACTTCGCTTGAGCTTTAACCCAAGTCGATGGCGGGGCCATTGTGTATACGCAGCGTGGGCATCAAAGCGAAAGCCGACGGCAAAAATGGCAGCCTATTTAAAAATATGTATGAAAATACCCGCACTCGCACTTCCCGTTTTCCCGTTCTATGCGGTTTTATTTTTCGGGCCTCTTGTCTGATGTTGATAATGAAAAAGTTTTGATTGCTATTTGATTTGAGTTTTTGATTGGGTTTGAATGTGTGTGGGCTTGCCAGTACAATGCTGCGTATGCGCAATGTTCAATGTTTTACGGGTTTCGGGTTACGGGTTACGGTTACTGGCTTCCAACACTTTCCGCCTCTTGCCGCGCTAGCCATTAAAGTTTAATTTATGCACTGCTGCTACTTTTGCTGGCAGGTGCTGTCAATAAGTTTTTGACAGCCTGCAATAAAAATTACTTGAAGGACGCGCCAAAAACTTTCCGATTGCTTCGCTTATGCCGCTCCACTCCCAAGGCGGAACGTGGCGTATACGTAATATGCAAATGTGCTCCAACCACGGCTAAGTGAAACTAATATTATGCCCGACGTATTGTCAAATAATTTATGCAGCCCCAGTTGGTGAGTGTGTGTGTGTGTGCTTGTATATGTGTGCGCCATGCTTGTCGTTAAGTGCACTAGAAAATGTCAATAGGTCGTACTTGAGGCGTCAAATATTTGCCTATTGATCGAGGGCAACTAAAGAGCACAAAAATCCGTCTCGAGCTGGCAGTCGCCAGAAGTGCTGCCGCACAAAAGGCTACACAGGAAGATAAACTATTATAGTTTGGAAGAAGAAGGTCTACCACGTTTAGCAAAACATTTTGAATTCCTTTGGGTATCTTTGGGTATATGATTAAAGTACATATTTCTACTAACTTTAAAAGCCCAAGCCTTAAAAGTATAAGTTACAACTACTCTGATGATATAAATCTAATTCTTTGTCAAAAATTACCCAATAATGCTCCTTACATTAAACCTCTTTACAAAATAAGGTTCTGAAATCATTTTAAATTCCGCCCAAAAGTATGCAACAATATATTTTGATACCTTCTTTTCACGGTAAAGTGCCGAAATATAATATGTATAGTATACTTTTAGACACCTTTAAAAATTAAAATTCCTGTAATTTGTTTTGCTAACCCCCATTAGTAGTGCTGTTACTCTATTTCCTCGGACGTAACTAATGGAATTCTAAACCTTATAAATGCCGATATATTTGCTCGGTGTAAGTGCACAATTGTGCAGCTTGCAATTAGCTGCTCGCACGTAAGTGGGTAACAATTTCTGTTTTTCCAGCCAGCTCTCAAGACGGCCGAGTGACTTGGGCAACGAAAACAGCAATGAAGGAGCAACAACTGGGGCTGCTGAAGGAACAGGACCAGAAACAGCACCAGAAACAGGACCAAAACCAGAACCAGAACCGTAACTGTAACAAAACCAAAATGCAAAGTCATGCGCACGACAGCCAAGCCCAAAACGTGTCGCCTCAAGTGCCACGCCATCTTATCGCTGGCCACAGTTTGTTGCCTTATCTTGAGGCACTGCACGTTTGCCATATATATGTGTGTTTATGTGTAGGTGTATATGGTATATACATATAGATGTGTACGTGGGTGGGTGTGGCTGGTCAGTGTGCCAGTGTGTGTAAGTGTGCAAGTGGAAAGCTGTGGGAAATATTGTCGTTATTGTTTGTTGTCGTTCTCGCTGTCGCTGTCGTTTTTAGTGGCACTTTGAGTGCCAGCCATTACGTATACGCTGCGTTGGACACGCGCCATTGCATAAATTCAAGTGAAACGTTAAAACAAAGCGGAAATGCGAAAACTACTAGCAAATATTATCTTTCTTTTAGCGTTTTCGTAGTCTTTGTCTTCATCTCCGCTGTCTCCGTTCCCCCTCTTCCCATTTCCCATTTCCCTGCCTTCCACCCAGGACTTCGTCCTGACAGCTGGAGGGACTGAGGTAAACGCCTACGCCGAGATAAGCAAAAGTTGGTTTAGGCCTTTCTGCTGCGCAGTAAAACACTTGGGCCAATGTCTATGGGTCGCCCAGCCTCCAGCCTCCAGCATCCAGCCTCCAGATTTTAGCCTCCTTTTTCTCGGGGCCGAGTGTGAGTAAGCGTTTTTTAATAAAGTGATAACTTGATGCCTGACAGCCGCCTGACAGTCGCTAAAAATAAACACATCCGCTTAATAAGCCAGCTGGCAGCAGCCAGTGAGCAGCCAACTCCCAGGACACACAGGAAAGCCGCTCGGACATGGAAACATTAACTATTATGAGCTAGCACAGCAGTTGGGCCACGCCCCACTTTATGGACTTGTTAAAGCCAATTTCAGACACACTGGGAATGGCTAAAGTATACCCACAATGGGTCATAGTTCGGGATTGGCCCACATATTTAATGTGTTATGATCAGAGGTATATCTAAAGTCACCCTACACTAAAAGGTCGATTTTATATACACACTACTAAGAAATGCTTTGCCTTTGGTCTCTCATAAGTTGAACTCTAAATATTAATCTGATAACAATTATTAACAGTAAAACTATTGGACTTATTTCTAGCCATTAGCGAAAATTATGGCAGCATTATGTCGCGATGGTCGTAAAATTATTAAAAGATAAAAAGATAAGTATAAAATCAGTAAGTAATTGAGTTGTATAATTTGCACCTTAAACATTTAAGAACTATACTCATTGGAAATATTAATATCTTTTAAATGTCGAAAAAAGACAACAATATAATAATTTGAATTTTTTGCACTTAAATAAACCAACAAAAACTCAACAAGTTAATTATTAATGCCAAGGAAAACTCTTTAAGAAACTCTTTTTTACTGCTTTCGGCATTGAATCTTAAAATTTTGATGAAAAAGCATTGTTTATTTAAAAGAAAATGTGTGATAGCTGTAAAAATCATATTTCCATTTGTATTTTTAAACCTATTTCAAAAATTAGTATAATGAAGTTTATACTTTGATTTTTTGTCGTGTTATTTATTTCTAAGACTTATGCATTGAGATTTCGAAACTTTTAGCTTCTCAGAAATTTTAAAAATGTCAAATTACCATGTTGACTTGGAAACAAAAGGTTTTTATTCCGTTTAGATGCAGATATAAAAGCGGTATTATTTCTATTCGATTTTTCTTGCAATTTGCACTCGACTTGCTTGGTGGGATGGCTTGGCCTTTTGATTAAATTAAACCCAATCCCCATACCCAATTCGAACTCATCCGCTGAGCCAGCTGAGCGGGCGAGGTGAGGTAAATGCATAAAAAATTGAATTGCATTGGCGAGTCCTTGACATTTTGCAAAATGAACAGCAGGCTGGCAGGCGATGGCGAATGCGATGGTGATGGCGAGGCGATGTCGATGGCTAAGGAGCGAATATCTCTCGCCTCCAGGCGGGCCAATAAAAATAGTTGCCCGCTCGAATTGTATTTGCCGGGGCAAATGTGAAAAAAATTAGACCTGCCTTGTCGGGGCTTTATTAAATATTTGAAAAGCAGATGGAGGCAGAAGTGGAATGACGATTGGCAAAACACAAGATGGCAAGAGCACACAGAGAAGAGAAAAGAGAAAGGAAAGGAAAGGAGGCTGGCCTGCCGTTTGTAGATATTTTCAATCATACTCAAAATGTGAAGGAACAACAATTTACGCTCAATGACACTCGACGGCGAGCTGTTGACGCTGCCTGCCCCCGAGTGATGCAGCTGGCGAACTCGAATAGTGGGGCAGGATAGAGAGAAAGAACGAGCCCGGGTGGTCTTGCTTTTGTCGCTGCCACTTTGGCATTATCTGCTATCAATAAATTCCCAGTGAAGTGGGCACTTGTGTGGCAAGTGGAGCACAACGGGAGGCCCAACGGGGGGCAGCAGCCCAGCGTACACAGCGAACCCAGCAGCCCATGTCGCACAGGAAGTGGCAGCGTGTAAAGTGAGCAAACTGTGTCGCTCTGGCCTTTAACCTTTTGCTTGGATGGGGGATTGAGGCTAGGAGGATTGGAGGCCCTGGGACTTTGACTCGGCAAGGCTGTCATTTTGTGTTGCACACTTTGTGGCGGCGCCTGTGCAATGTTGCATGAAAAAGTAGCGTAAACTTTGCTCCGTTGAATGTGCCTTTTCCTTTGCCTTTTTGGCCCAAATAAAAGGACACAGCTGTGCCTGTGTGTGCCGCTCGGAGTCGCTTGACTTTTGCCGTCTCTCTTAGCGCCACGACATTTTCGATTTTGGACTTCTTGTTACGCTATACGCTATATGCTATATGCTATACGCTATGTAAGCCAGTGTAAGTATAAGCCACATCACATGCCACGTCGCGTGTATCTCCGTGTCCTCGTCTGCGTGCCCAGCACGCGATCGTGTAATCCCATAAACGTGCATTTGTACTCGAGTCGCCGCTCGATGTCGCATTCGGATTTTTTGGATTTTCGGATCCGGGACTAGTATTTGAATACGGATACAGAGAGTCCTCGTTGTGGCCCCCATTTGATTTGCCTAATTTGCCAGGTTGCCATGTTATGCAAATGTTTGGCGCTCTGTGTAGCGCCTAAATATTTACTAATGAGCGCTAACCCAAAAAAGGAAAATAAGAAGGAAATGGGCGGCAGTCAGTGCCAACCAGAGCGCGGGCTCTGCATAATTTGTGTGATTAAGTTGACAGAACGCCACAGTAGCTGACAACTAATGCCACAATTGCGGCAATTTCTTTGCGTTGTCCGAATGTGTTGTATGCGGTTGCGGTGGGTGGATCTCCCCAGGGTAACGGCGGGCGTATTGGTTCAGTGGCTGCCGCGCTGACAGCTGACAACTGTCAGTTGAGTGGTGTGTGGCGCAGGGGGTGAGGGCTTTCGAATCCTTGCACAAGGGTTTCCAAAAACAAACACAAACAGCGAACGCTGACGGGTGAGTAATTACATGACCATCGAGTGGCAGTTGTCATTTTTCAGTCGCTGCCAGCCATTTTAATGACTGCCACATGCAAATGTGACAATGACGATGTAGATACGGAATACGGAGTCGGAGTGCCCTAATAAATGGCCTGCACTTAGTCAAACTGTCGAGCAGCTCAACATTTATTCACTGCCAGGTCAAGCTGGCTGTCATTCAGCCTAATTAGCGACGGGGCCGAAAACTTTTTGAGCGCATTTTGCAGCAAAATGATTTGAATAATCATAAATTACCATGAATTATGGGCCCCACGTTGGGCGCCACAAAACCGAAAAACCCAAAAAACTCTCGTATAGCACGCACCTGTCGCCTGGGGGGCTGGTCACTGGTTACTGCAGTAAAGTGTCAGGCCCCGAAAGCAAATTTATTGTTATTATAACCACTGCCCAACTGTAGTTTCTCTTTGTTCCGAAAATGAGGAGGTGCCATGCGGCTAGCAGCCATGCTAACCATTATTTGGCCATAATTTAATGCGAATTAGAGGCGGGCTCGGCCCTCTATGATGTTATTAGCCTAATTGATAGTTGTAAATGTCACTAATTGAGTAAATGCCATTGAATACGGTGGCGGTACTTTTGGTATTTCGTTACTCCCCTGCCAGCGATGATTTCGCATAATTACAGATACAGACTGAATGGATGAATGATACTTACGCCGCTTGCACTGTGTGGATCCGTTTGTGGCCCGTCTCCTGGGCGATCAGGGCCATGTTGATGGCCAGCCAGATGGTCAGCAGCGGGGTGCGGGGCAGGGGCGCCATCCGGGCCAGCTTGTCCATTCTTGAATCACTCATGGTGGTGCTGTGTGTGTGTTTGGGTTTTTGTTTGTTTGTTTCGGGTGTTGGAAGTTGAAATTTCGGGAGGGTGCGAAAGTTGCTTATTTAAAATGGCTGTCGTGGCTTTTCGTAGTTTTGCATTAAAAATTGAAGTTTTCGTTTTTTGGTTTTTGCTTTTCTTATTTTGGTTTTTTGTTTTGTTTTTTAGTTGCGTATAAAGTAAGTTGTAGTTGTTTTGTTGTTGTTCTTCTTGTTGCTGGTTGCAGTTATTAGTCAAGGTTGCTCCTTTAGTTTATTTTACTTCTCCGCTCGGCTACTTGGGCTTCTCTAGTCAGGGCTTTCTCCGTACTTCTCCGCTTGTTGAAGTCTCTCAGTCAGTGAGTTAGTTGGTTGTTTAGGCAGCGAGGCATTCAGTCAGTACTTCAGTGCATGTGTATGGTTGAGTGGGTGTATTTAGAGCTTATAGAGATAGAGGTTCCCCCTTTGTGACTTCTCCTTTTTCTCCAGCTCCTCCGTTTGCTTTCTCCGCGTTCTGATGGGAGATCGAGTCGAGCTCAGGCCAGTGGCAGCAGATCCTGATGCGCTTCCTCTGAATCCTGTTCTGGTTCCTCCCTCCTGCGGCATTAATTGCTGCTGCTGCTCGGCCCGTAATCAGGTTACTTCCTGCCTTCCCAGCTCTTAGGGACTTCTTTTTTTCGGTCTTCTCTGGCCTCCTTTATTTACTTTTAATTACTTCTATCCTGACGAGAGAAGGAGTGAGTGAGAGAGAGAGAGAGAGGGACAGAGGGATGCCCGCTCATGTGTGCCTGTGTGTGTTAGTGCGAGCGCTTTGCAAATTCCTTGAAATTGAGCCTTTCGTTGCCTTTCCTGCCTGCCTGCCTGCCGTCGTCGTCGTCGTCCTTTCGTCCTGTGGGGAATCTGTCGGGATTGGGCGGTCCTGGGTCCTGGGGCCGGGGGGTGAGTGTGTGTCAGTGTGCTAGTCGAGCTCCAGCAGAGTGTACATCGTGATATCCCGCTACGAATCGCTCTGTTCTGCGCTGCTGCTGCTGCTGCTGCTGCTGCTTCACCCCGCTCACTCTGCCCACCGCTCTATGCGCTCATTAATAATTACAAAATATCCGCACTGTTCATGGCTCTGCCTCTGCCGGTTATTTTTGGATTAGTTTTGGATTTCACTGATTTTCTATTTTCGTCGCCTTGTGATCCCGAGTTGATTTTGTTTCAGTTGCAGCTCCCTTACTGAGTTCCTAAGTTCGTCATCCCAGCGGACGCTCCATCTCATCGCTCGTTCAGTATCGTTGTGGATGTTCCGATTTGGCTGCTATCTGATGTTAGTCCTGCCGCAATTGTCCTTTGTGTGCCTGCAACCAGCTCGATGTGACCGATGTTGATGTTGTTGGCGTTGCAGGCGACGGGGCTCATTTTATTGGTTTCGATTGCCTGCGATTCCTTTCGCCTTAACTTTGGGCATTGTTTGTTAAGCGGTTACGGCTGTGGCTACGCTTCTCGGGGAACTATGGGACATATTAGCTAGATCTGAAAGTCTTGACTTAGTTCTTTGACTTTAACACTGCAAAAGTTTCAAATAAAATAATAGAAATTAATATAAATTGATTAAATGGTTTAGTTTAATTTTAATTTTTTCATCTGTTTATTTCACAAATATTTTCCAGATTTATGATCAAATGTAACATTTTATTTTGCTTATAATTTGTTAGGTTTTTTGTAATTTTTCCACTTTGTAGTCATTATAATTTCAAGTTTTTAAATCACTTTGGGTAAATTAATAGTTTTTAATAATTTTGTTTATTGCCACAATTTATATTAATATGTTTTATATTTTTAAATTTTTTTTTGGTTAAGTGCAAGAAACAGGAATCGGGGCGCGTCGCTTTTTGCTTGAAAATTTCACGCTATTGCTAAAGAACATCCTCACACTCACACACTAAAACTAATTTGTACACCCATACATAAGCATTCCCTCAGAAACACACGCACACATACACAGGCAGACACTTTTGTATAGATTTTGTCGAGTTGCCGTTTCTTGTGGAGTCCTTTTTTCAGGTTCTCTTGTACCGTCTGTGAGTTTTGCCAGCCGCGTTTCGTCCGTTACATTTTCTCAGCTGAGCGTTTGAAAACCGTTTGGCAGGACAGCCAGTTGGCTAGCAGTCAGTTGGCCAGCTAGGAGCCGAGCAGGCTTTGCAGGACGAGAGAGAAACGGAAAGAGAGAGAGGGAGAGAGAGAGAGCGCGTGAGAGTTGGCCAAAAATAGCACGAGCCTGAGCCCGAGAAAGTGTGCTACAATTTCTGCAAAGACAGTCTCTCGCTCTCTCAGGACCTCTCACTCCTGTGTGTGTGTGTGTGTCGGCTGGCCTGGCACCTTTTGTGTGCTCTGGTGTTGCCTTGTTGTTATCCTTTTGGGCTTTTTGCAGAAATGTCACCGTGCACTCTCAGCTTTGGCAACCCCGGCAGTTACACTCTGTTTAGCATAAACGCTTGCTACTTGGCTCCAAAGTCGTCCTTTTCCCCTACCTCTCAAAACCTCCTTTTCCACCTCCCCAACCTCGTCTATCATCTAGCTGTGTGTGTGTGTGTTCGTGTGTCGTCGGCCTGCCTTTGTATTGGTTTTTTGTTTTTATAAATTTTTTCGCATGTGCTTTTTCCTAAGCACATTTGATTTGTATGCCACTTTTTGTGGGCTCCCTTCCTCGGGGTTTTTGTCCTCTTGCTAAATTTCTCGCGCTTTCTTGCACATTCGCACATATCTCGTTAATTGGTAAGCATGCGTTTTCCTGGGAATTTTCTTGTGCCTTTGCTTTGATTGCTTTTTGCGGCAAACCGAGAAAAAAAAGAAAGGATTTGTCAAGGCAACGACTGAAGAAGGGGGGACAGCGAGCATTGTTTCCTTCAGCCTGTTCAACTTGACAAAGAAAAGCGAGCTGGTATGTAAATTCCATATGCATATGCAAACCGCTTTCTCTTCGCTTCTCCCCTCCCCTGTGTGTGTGTGCATATTTTATATTCAATGATAAGAGTTTGACATTAATTAAAATGGCAAGAGTTGCGTGTGTGCGGGGCTCACATTCGACATTTTACATTTCACTTGCAGCTGAGGGAAATTTATGCCGTGCTCCTCGATGTTTTTAAAACGGCTTTTGTTTGGCTTGCATAAATACTTTCATATTGTATGCGAGGAACGACGACAGTTATTAATGAGTTTTGGCCCCTGCCCCCGTCGCTGCCCCTTTTTTCTCTGCTACATATTTGATGGCCCACAACAGGGCTTTTAAATATGCAGTCCCTAACTTGAACTTGCATACTTAATGCGTTGGCAACTTTCTAATTACTTAATCCGATTTTACAGGCCACGTTTTCAGGGGCAATCCGTCCCTCCATCTCCTGCCCATCGCTTTGCGAATACTTTCCTAAAAACCTGATTAAGTATACGCCAATAAAACTAGAGGTCTTCAGTTCGTTAGCCCAAACGGCTCAATAAATGTAAAATTTCGGCTTTCATCAGAAATGAAAATTATGGATCCTTGAGTGCTCCCAAAACTGCGCTCTACTATTCATAAAACTGAACCAAATTGAGCAGAATATCCACGGTGTAAAAAAAAACGGATAAACTAGCTTTTTTTGGATCTTTAACTATTATTTAAATTTAAATTTATTTAAAATAATTATTTTGTAAGTGTGAAATTGGGTTTGTGAGTACTTTTTGAATACTGAATAGAATTTTTATATTTGTAAGTTTGTAAATTATGAGTGATACAATTTTTTTTTTAAATTTTTAAATTATTGAAATTATTTGTTCTTACTTTGAATATAAAAGTTTGAAATTTTTTTTTAGATAAGTCATTTAAAAGTTTCCAGTTTTTAAATTTTTTCATAAGCATAACGAAATGCAATATAAACTTTTTGACACCGACAAATTGTAGAGCAAGTTTTTCAAAGAGGTCAAAATTTTTTCCCGTGTTTTTAACGGAGACGAGTGGCAGATTTCATAGTCAACTGCCATTCAAATATTCATGTGCAGGGCTGGAATCGGCTAAGACTTTAAGCCATTAACCTCGTGGCCGCTGTCATCATCAGGGGCGTAGAAGGGGGGTGGCAGCAGCAGCAGCAGCAGCAGCAGCCTGTGCCCTCCATCGCCCCCTCTCTGTCGCTCCCTCTGGCGCTGTCTCACTCTGACGCCCTGTTGATGTGTGGCTGGGCACGTTTTTGGCAATTAAAAGCATATGCGGGCTAGGCCGCCTCCTCCTCGGGGCTAATCAACGAGGCCGCCCCAACAATTTGCTTGAAAATTAAACAAAGCAAAGGGCGTGCATGGGAAGGGGGCGTGTCAGGGGAAGGGGAAGGGGGGTGGCAGAGGACGGGAGGAGCAGCTGCCAAGACGATGGAGCTCACGAAGACGAAGAGGCAGAGTGCCTACCACAAGCAAACACAAGCGAATACACACACAGAGAGAAGCGTCTACGAAATTCGCTCACCCACACATGCCCGCACTCACCAATACATACATACCACACGTTGCAGCAGCAGAAGGAACAGACTCCTTTTTGCCGTTGCCTTTTGTATTTATTTACTGCTTTTTTCTTTGACTTTGCGTGTGCCTGTGTGTGTGTGTGAGCCAAACTCGGCCAAATTTTATATATGTGTGAGTGTGAGTGTGTGTTAGTGCGTACGTGCGTGTTGGTGGTTTAAGTTTTGGATTCAAATTTCCCAGCAGACTGATGTGATTCCTGAATTTGCCTTTGCTATTGCACTACTTTTCTTAATTATAATTTCCATAATTTAAACGCAGAAATCGCAATTCGGGGTTTTTTTTTAAATATATCCAGCAGTTTTCTCTCGCTTTTTCGTGCTTTGATTTTCCATGCACACCAACACTAACACACTCGCGCTCTCCCCACACCAATACTGCAGCAGATACGCCTTTTTCGCGACATTTGCCAAAAAGTTGATTTATATTTTCTTTTTTAATCCAGGTCACTTGATTGTAGAATTTTTAAGGAATTAAATTTAGCGTTTTTTGCTTTGTCGGTTACCAAAAAGAGGTGGAAAATGTATCTATGCCTGGGCTTTTTAACAAAATTTGTATCCGCTCGGCGTTAACGACTCGACTCGACTCGACTCAACTCGCTCACGGACTCAGCT